TTTTTGGTTTTTTTTTTTTTGTAATTAGGACAGCTAAACCCGTACGTGCCAGTTGTATGTTCTTCATGACGTATATGATTGTATTTTCTTTCAACTTCCCTTGTTGTCATCAGGTGTCAAGTTCTATTTTTAAAACAATATAACGTATCCAATATCTACATACAGTATGAATAGAATTTGTAAACAGTGCATTTTTAATACGTTCATAATATTTCCATGTAAAGATTGTATGAGGTACACACGCACACGTACACACAAACAAACATGTTGTTCTGATTTGATGAGTACGTCAATCTTTAATTATGCCATTCCTCTTACACGTTCCGGAAAGGCTGAGGTTGCTAGAGCTCTTGGTATACCGATGAACAGAGTACTCGTGAGAACAAAACGAATGGGTAAGAATCACTTTTGACACTGGTAATTAATACAATCACAATCTCAAGACAAATCTACAATCTCAAGACAAACATTTGTGCTAATACTTCTTTTACTGAGTTTATATGTAACATGATGGCTGCCATTCTTCGCTCAATTTTTAAAAATTTAGCTTTTAAGGCATGCAGTGTTTTTATAGCTTGAGTAAATTTTCAAGTATTTTTAAATCACCAAGGTTTAGCACGTCTGTTGACAAAATTACTAATTCTATAAAACTGTCTTTAACTTTCTAATTTGTAATTTAAGCGCTAGTTTCGTTAAGAAGAAAAATTATAATTTGCGACTCTAGCACAAGTTTATATATACCAATTCTCTTATCAGTTTTAAACAGGGTATATTTTGGTGATTAAGAGAAAATTGTGAACGTTTTGGGGATATTTTTTCGTTATTTAAAGATTATTGTATGTCTTTGGATGTGAAAATAATTGTAATATATGTCAGAATTTACACTGACAGCGTAGTTTGTCTTTTAGAATAAAATCGAATAACAATCTAGATATAAAAATACCAATATATAGTTCACTATTGCTTTTGTCTATTTATATGTTAAAATATTTCATAATTAATATAATGTATAATAAGTTATTGCGCGCGTCAATATTTGAATTTTTCCATACTATGTCCCTTGTATTGAATGTTTTGCAACCGATTTCGCAGCGGAAGATTTTTTTCTTATTCATTGAACGTCTTTTTGGTTGAAAACTCGAAGTTCAAATTATGATTCTGTATAGGTGGGGCTTTTGGTGGAAAGCAACTGTACGATGTTCTTTTGCCAGTCGCCCTTGCTGCACAAATGTAAGTAAACCAGCATTTTTTTCATAAATGAAAATTATCAAACACAAGCCAAAAACTACCATACCGTTAGCTTACGGCAAGGCCAACCTGGACGTAGGCCTTCATCAGCCTCATGTGAGCTGATGTTGACACTCCTTAACCGCTAGGTTGTGTAGCGGCCATGACCTTCATATAGATGTCAGTTTATGATAGTTTTTCGTCTTGTGTTTGATAATTTTCGTTTATGATCCAACTACCAAGCTTATGGACATTTTTGAACATTTTTGTTGTGATCAAAACTAAAGCAAATAAGTGTATAACCATGTGCATTTTACGGGATACCATCAGTATTTTACCTCACATACGGTCAGACGTTGGGGACTTTAACTTAGGACGAGTGAGGTGATATTGAGACACATTACTTGGTTTAAGATATGTTTTATACACTAAAACTCTGTGTTGTGCATGGTATGTCGCATCATTTGACCACCCACCTATTTCATGAGGGTTATCAAATTGTTTAAGCTTGATTTTCATATCTTTTTCCAATAGTTTTGAAACTTTTGTCAGTTCATGATACAAATTAGAGGAATGTGTTTCAAAAGTCTTCAAATGTTGAGTCAAGGTCCCTTGATTTAGGTGACTGAGGTACTAGTACTTAATTAATTACGATACATTGTATGGTACGTTATATTTCATCAAGTATGCTTCGCATAATGTTTAATGGTGAAGCGTCATTGTAGACCAAGGGCTCTTTCCAGTGAAAATATCGGTCTACGTAGGTAGATCCTCCTCCAGGTGGACTGTCGCTAAATGCAATCAGATTAACGGATTAACATGCCTCATCTTGTTTCCAACGAACTGGTATAATCACCGGCCTTTCTCCTTTCTACTCAACACCAGGGGGAGGTGTGATAATCTGCTAAGCTGATTGCAATCTAGTCCCCGCGGACTAGAACGAAAGTTTCATTTGGGATGTGCCCAAAGACAATAATGGTGACAATGGAATGGTGACAATGTACATACATCATTCATCATCATCATCATCATTTAGAGCCTATAGTGTTCCACTGTTGGACAAAGGCCTCAGCATGCTTTTTCCATTTTTTCCTATTCTGAGCCTCAGATTTCCAGTTTGGCCAAGGTTTCTTCTTCCAAGACTTCCAGTAGTCATCTAATTCATCCCTCCATCGTTTGACCGGCCTTCCTCTTTTTCTTTGTCCATACCTTGGGTCCATTCTGTAAGCCCGATTGTCCACCTATTGTCCTTCATTCTTTTGACATGTCCTGCCCACCTCCATTTCATTTCTTTAACTGTGAGCAGTACGTCCTTAACTTTGGTCTGTTCACGTAACCATACATTCGTTTTCCGCTCTCTTGGACTGATGTTCAACTTAATTCTTTCCATCTTTCTCTGAGCTACTTGTAGCTTGTGTTCCATGGAGGCATTCAGTGCCCAGGTCTCTGAACCACACGTGATACGTGATCGGTGCAATCCACTATCTACACATCAGCTTCAGTGAGAGCGACATGCCTTATTTCGGACAATACTTTTTTTACATTTATGGTGCAGAGATGTGCTAATTATTTGTGTAACAGAAAAGTACTTTGCTACATCGTTTGATGATTGTTATGCGCAGGTTGAACAGACCGGTGCGTTGTATGCTGGATAGAGATGAAGACATGTTGATAACAGGAGGTAGACACCCTTTCCTCGCAAAATACAAGGTATTACAATCTTTTAACATTTCAACTGGGGCTCTCTCTCAGTCTCTCTCTCTCTCTCTCTCTCTCTCATACATTATGTTCGAGTTCTTCACAGTAATTCTATAGACTTCTGTGGATTCTACGACAGTCCTTTTGCATATTTCTGCTACGATAACCCCCTCCGCACACCCTCCCTCCTATTCTCTACATACTACTTCACAAACAGAAGTTCTGACTTGACAGTGATTTTTTTAAGTGGGCAGGAATGTTGATATAATCAAACACTTTTCATGATTATTATTTGCAATGGTCTTACATCTAAGTTCATTTAATTTGGGCAGGGTTTGCGGATATGTTCTTATGGTGAGGGTGTTTGCCAGGGGTTTGGGGTTCTCCAGGGAATTGCCTTAGCTATTATTATTATTAGTAGTATTGTTATTATTATTATTATTATTTTATTTTACTNTTTCTTAATTTCTGCTATATTATTTTTTTTTTTTTTTTTTTTTTTTTGAATAGTTGCATTAATTTACTATAATATATACTATAACAACAGAAATGGAAATTAATGTTTGTTTTAGGTTGGAGTGGACAGCAGGGGACGTTTACTAGCCCTAGAAGCCACGCTATATTTAAACGCTGGCAATGTGTGCGATTTATCCCCATACGTAGGTATAGTTTAAAGAATACCTCGTGTTTTATTGTATAATCGGGGCAGAAACATTGAAATGTGTGTGTTTGTGTGTGTGTGTGTGTGTGTGTGCGCGTGCGTGTGCGTGTGTGAGTTATCATATCGCTCATTCATCTATTAGGCCCCATATAAAGTGTTTTATTCATCAGGTTCTAGGCGAGGCGTTAGACAGATTTGACAGCTGTTACCTTATTCCAAATCTACTGCTGACTGGCGTCTTGTGCAAGACCAACCTCCGCTCAAACACGGCGTTCAGGGGATTTGGTAGCCCTCAGTCAGTTTTGGTTATGGAGAACATAATCGAAGATATCGCTGTTCAACTAANTTTTTTTTTTTTTTTGAATAGTTGCATTAATTTACTATAATATATACTATAACAACAGAAATGGAAATTAATGTTTGTTTTAGGTTGGAGTGGACAGCAGGGGACGTTTACTAGCCCTAGAAGCCACGCTATATTTAAACGCTGGCAATGTGTGCGATTTATCCCCATACGTAGGTATAGTTTAAAGAATACCTCGTGTTTTATTGTATAATCGGGGCAGAAACATTGAAATGTGTGTGTTTGTGTGTGTGTGTGTGTGTGTGTGCGCGTGCGTGTGCGTGTGTGAGTTATCATATCGCTCATTCATCTATTAGGCCCCATATAAAGTGTTTTATTCATCAGGTTCTAGGCGAGGCGTTAGACAGATTTGACAGCTGTTACCTTATTCCAAATCTACTGCTGACTGGCGTCTTGTGCAAGACCAACCTCCGCTCAAACACGGCGTTCAGGGGATTTGGTAGCCCTCAGTCAGTTTTGGTTATGGAGAACATAATCGAAGATATCGCTGTTCAACTAAAGATCCCACCACGTATGGTACGTTCAAGAAAAACCTCGAAAAACGCACTATGTATTAAATTGTGTTTGTGCCTTTACTTTGAAATCACCGAAGGATCATAATTTGACTTTCTTACTTAACCTTTGTTTTTGTCATAAAACCAATTTTGTCCACGATCCAGTATTAGCGCCTGGCCTTTAATAAATTCATAAATTATGGTAACGGGTATCATGTTATATTCTCCAAATCTGCCAGTAAATGTGAAAACGTAATTATTCAAACGAATAGGCCTAATATACTAATATTAAGTACCATTCCCATATTGTTTAGGTCAGAGAAGTGAATATGTACAAGGAAAATGATCTAACACCCAATGGCAATCGCCTGGTGAACTGTAACATAGGACGTTGCTGGACTGAGGTTATCAAACAAAGTGGATTTCATACGAGTAAAAAAGAAGTAGAAGCGTTTAACAGGTGATATGAAATTAAGATAAAGTACTAAGGTACTTGCCTATGTTAGTTTGCAACCCATTAATATCCAAACACTAAATACTAGTTTCTTAAAGTTAGTAAAAACATTGAATGGCGTGACAGCAACGATCACCGTTCAAACTCCGACCAGGGCCAAGTTAAATTGAAAAGATTGCACGCTTCAGTGACGAATTCGACGTTATTGTAAACTGGGGCCATTTGTATTGCTAAAAGTCCGAAAAGTTACCTCTGACCGTTTGTTATCCCCTTGTATGAATCACGGTTTTTAAAGGTGGCATTGGATAACTTCACATGTCGGTCCCTACTGAGCATAACATAACATAATATAACGTGACTAAATTTATAATTCGGATGTCAAACAAAGGATATATTGACTACATAACTTCAGGTAGTGAGAATATTCGCATCTACAGTTTCACGTAACACTTGTGGTCATTTTACTGTCAACAAATTATTGGAAATTTTTTTTCTCGGCTGCCCACTAAGAAAGACAAAGCAGTAGGCATGTGTTTGTCTGCGTGTAAGTTTGGATGTTCGTGTCGAGCAGCTACATCTAGGACAACCGTTCTTGTCCCGATATAGCTTATACTCTAAATATACACATTGTATCGTTGTTACAAATCTAATGAAACATCACGATTAATTACAAGCACCAAATCTGTTTTAGCAAAAACCGTTGGAAGAAGCGTGGCATCGCCTTGGTTCCTGCCAAATATCCGATTACTAACTATCCTAATCGTCATCTACAGAACGTAAGTACAGTGTACTTGTATTTGTACAAGTGGGCGGCTTATCATAATTATAACAAGTTGCTGATGATGATTCTGTAAAGATAAAACTGTCTTTTTAAAAGAGCGAGATACATGTTTAATAAACAATTAGGCGGTACTTTTCAATTAAAACATTGCGTCAATTATATCTATGTCGTATAATTATAATCATCACCATTTTTACCGATAGGGGGCTGCACTTGTTCATGTGTACCAAGAGGACGGTTCAGTTCTGATAACACATGGTGGTGTAGAGATGGGACAAGGATTGCACACTAAGTTGATACAGGTAATGTGATAATTTACATGAAAACTTCATCCAATCTGTCCGTTCACTTCATAATATTCTGAATTGGTTTTAATGAAAAATTACTAATATAGATCCAAAATTTTAGAAAATACACTCAATGAAAATGGATAAAATCCGTGAAAAAGAATGGACATTGAGGTAATAGCTGAACATACTCACTACGACAATGTTCAACTATAAAGCAGTTAGTTTTAGCTTCACTATTTATAATAAGGACGATGCGTGTTTTAACCCTTTTTTTGTATAATTACAGTTAAATTTTGTACTGCTATATTTCTTCGTGTAATAGGAGATGGACGCAGGGCAAAGAAGTAAACTGACGCTCCTTATCAGCCGTAAGATAATAACATATTAAAGAATTTGTTTTTTGCCAGATTGCCAGCCGAGCATTACAGATCCCAGTTCGGAAAATCCATATCAACGAGACATCTACCGATACGGTGCCCAATGCCACTGCCACAAATTCCAGTACAAGCACTGATTACTTTGGAATGGCGGTATTGGTAAGTTGAATCTAGGCGCCGTTGAAGTTGAAATATTTGCAACGGAGAATGCAGCTGAAAGCTAGGCAGCGGGTTATGCAAAAGTACTTTCAGCTTGAAATTGATAGCAATTATTTTCGTACCTTTTCGATTTATCGTGTTGATTAACCTATTGGAATGAAAAAAAAAACAAACATTTCTGGATGTATACTATTAATATGCCCTCTTCATATCTCCAGAACGCCTGCAAAACACTAAAAGAACGACTGGCTCCATATGTCAACGAAAAGCCAAGNATATATATATATATATATATATATATATATATATATATATATATATTTTTTTTTTTTTTTTTTATTTGGCTATATATAATAGATATTGTAAACCGCCAACCTGTCTCTAGAGTTCTCCTTTTCCCACCTTTAGTACGTACATGATGATGGCCAGGGAAGTAATAAAGGCAGCTTTATTTACCTTTTTGGATGATTATAAAGTTTACAAAAATAATTAAATGGTCGCATTATTTCTGGTATCGTTAAATGTGGACAGTTTGCGCATGAAATGCTTCCAATTGTTTTAGAACGAATTTGTGTCCGGTTTCAAACAAGCCCAGCGTAGAGAAAATGCAGGAGCCATAGTGAATGCTGGGATGAGAGTCCTGTTTGAAGATGGAACCGACGTCATCAAAGAACTATCACTGGCATTTGGTGGCATGTCTGAAACCCCTTCATTGGCCCTTACAACAGCAAAGAATGTAATTGGAAGGTACAGATAGGTGCATGTAGGGGTCTATACAGATACCATGTATAAATGTACAGTCAATTGGAGAAGAACAAAGGAGAACACCAAAAAGTTTTAACTCTGTTTTAAACTTTGTTTTAAACTTTGTGCCATTTTATTATGGCGCAGATATCACACGATAATGCATTTTACAGTAACTCCATTTTAGGAAGTGGGACGAGCAGCTTCCAACAGATGTAAGCCAATGGCTGGCAGAAGATTTTCCAGCACCTCCAGATGGCATTGGAGGTCATGTGGCGTACAAGAGGACCCTGGCTGAATGTTTCTTTTTAAAATTCTACCTAAAGATACACTCAGAGCAGTGTAGAAATGGGGTACTTTAACTATTTTTATTATTGTACATATTTTAAAACTTGCGAGCATACAATGTAATTCACAAACATTGTTGCTAAAGTGTGGATATTTAGACATAATGCAAACTCTTGAAAAAAAGAGAAAAATAATATCTTATAGAATTCCAATATAAAAGAATGCTAATAATCTGTTCTGATTTCCAGTCTCGTCTGACGTAGTTACCGCATTTCACATACACTTTGCTTCATTTTGAACTTGTACCAAAATGCTAACTTAGAACAAATACGTCTGCTTATCATGTCTCAAGATACATCTGTCCTAATTTAGAATGGTAAAGTGAGCAATTCAACTCCCCAGTCGTACGCATCTGCAGCGCTTACTTTGACACGTGGGACAAGTCGTGGCACGCAGGTCTTTGAGGAGGTGCCCCCTGATCAACCAGAATACGACGCCGTTGGGCGCCCATTGCCACACAAGGCGAGCATGCAGCACGCAACAGGGGAGGCTCAATATTGCGATGATATGCCATTTTTAAACGGTACTAAAAGAAACTTATCTTTTTGACAAGTGATAATCAGTATGATTTCATTAGTGTTACAATTCTGTGATACGTTCAAAGACATGTTTTAGTAGTCACAAAATAGTCGCTGAAAAGTTAAAATATAAGACCAGACGATAACAACAGCGCAATAATCTCAACCATCCGGGAAAAATATACAACGACGATTAAACTGTGAAATTGGACAGCTGTCGTCGAATCAATTCCATTGCCATTAAAAGCACATATGGATTTGATTATATAGGTTCTCAAAACGTGTCTTTCATTATAATACAGGTGAGCTGTACTTGGCATTAGTGACAAGCACCAGAGCCCACGCCAAGATCCTCTCAATTGACACTAGTGAAGCCCTTGCATTGCCTGGAGTAGAGGTATTCTTTGGCCACAAGGATGTACCAGGATCTAAGATCAGAACAGAGGAAATATTTGCTTCCGAAGAGGTACCAAAGGCATTGTTTGGTACAACTAAAATGAACCCTAGAAATTGTGAAAAGTTGTGCATTGGGCAATTGTCTACATAAACCGGTTCTCTCCTATAATTAATTTATACTTTATTGAGCAGTAAGCTATTCCGCGTTCAGATCATCAGATTGCTTGAAATCTGTCCTGTATCCTTTCCCTACTTTAAAACATTTATCAATGAACCGTTTTTGCCTTTGCTGTGTGAGGCAACCCCTAGGCCCATAGGCCTAAACGTCCAAATACTGAGAATACTGAGAATACCTACGGGCACATGTTCTAGAAGACGTCTCATGGCTCAAACCTAGCAACAATTAAATAATTTCAATATTAGGATGTCAGATATCTGTACGAAGTATATCTTGAATGTTGTAGTGAGGTGAGTTCGGATAGCACACCTTTACTTTTAATGGCTAAAAATATTGAACGTATACGTATGTGGTATTTTAATGGTCAGAATATTTTGTGTGGAAAATATAAAATTTGAAGCTGTTTATGTTAATAACCCTTGATTCATAGTTATGAGACGTTGTTATTCTAGGTGACTAGTTATGGTCAGGTGATAGGAGCCATTGTGGCCGACACCAAAACGAATGCACAGAGGGCAGCAAAAGCTGTGAAAATTGAGTACCAAGACCTTCCAACAGTGTTGACAATGGAGGTATAAATAAGAAAACAATACACCCGGCATACATATGTTAAAATAAATAACAAATACCAGACTTTCTAATCAATTAGAATAACGACCTGTAAGTTAGTTTTCGAGTTCTAAATATGACGGAGTCGTATATGTGACAAAAATATATTTAATCAAAAATACGACAAAGTAGGTCATGGTTTCTATGAAAGAAATGGAAGTTATACGATTCAAGTAAAAAAAAATTATTTTTGTAGGAAGCAATTGAAGTAAAGTCATATTACCCTGTACATGAGAATGTCATCAAAACCGGCGACACGACACATGGCTTTGAGCAGGCTGAGCACATCTTAGAAGGGGAGATCAAAGGAGGGGGACAGGAACATTTTTATCTGGAGACGAATGGGGCTAGAGCCGTGCCTAGAGGAGAGGATGGAGAAATTGAGATATTTTGTGGCATACAGGGCCCTTCAGATGCCCAGGTAACTAAGATAATTATGCAGTGTATTTTTTGTAATCAGGACAGCTAAACCCATACGTGCCAGTTGTATGCTCTTCATGACGTATGGATTTATTTTCTTTCACCTTCCCTTGTTGTCATCAGGTGTCAAGTTCTATTTTTAAAACAATATAACGTATCCAATATCTACATACAGTATGAATAGAATTGTAAACAGTGCATTTTTAATATGTTCATAACTTCTCCATGTAAAGATTGTATGAGGTACACACGCACACGTACACACAAACAAACACGTTGTTCTGATTTGATGAGTACGTCGACCTTCAATTATGCCATTCCTCTTACGTTCCCGAAAGGCTGAGGTTGCTAGAGCTCTTGGCATACCGATGAACAGAGTACTCGTGAGAACTAAACGAATGGGTAAGAATCACTTTTGACACTGGAAATTAATACAGTCACAATCTCAAGACAAATCTACAATCTCAAGACAAACATTTGTGCTAATACTTCTTTTACTGAGTTTATATGTAACATGATGGCTGCCATTCTTCGCTCAATTTTTAAAAATTTAGCATTTAAGGCATGCAGTGTTTTTATAGCTTTAGTAAATTTTCAAGTATTTGTAAATCACCAAGGTTTAGCACGTCTGTTGACAAAATTACTAATTCAATAAAACTGTCTTTAACTTTCTAATTTGTAATTTAAGCACTAGTTTCGTTAAGAAGAAAAAATTATAATTTGCAACTCTAGCACAAGTTTATATATACCAATTCTCTTATCATTTTTCAACAGGGTATATTTTGGTGATTAAGAGAAAATTGTGAACGTTTTGGGGATATTTTTTCGTTATTTAAAGATTATTGTATGTCTTTGGATGTGAAAATAATTTTAATATATGTCAGAATTTACACTGACAGCGTAGTTTGTCTTTGTATGCTTTTAGAATAAAATCGAATAACAATCTAGATATAAAAATACCAATATATAGTTCACCATTGCTTTTGTCTATTTATATGTTAAAATATTTCATAATTAATATAATGTATAATAAGTTATTGCGCGCGTCAATATTTGAATTTTTCCATACTATGTTCCTTGTATTGAATGTTTTGCAACCGATTTCGCAGCGGAAGATTATTTTTTCTTATTACTTGAACGTCTTTTTGTTGAAAAACTCAAAGTTAAAAATATGATTCTATATAGGTGGGGCTTTTGGTGGAAAGCAACTGTACGATGTTCTTTTGCCAGTCGCCCTTGCTGCACAAATGTAAGTAAACGAACATTTTTTTCAGAAATGAAAATTATCAAACACAAGTCAAAAACGTCCTTACCGTTAGCTTACGGCAAGGCCAACCTGGACGTAGGCCTTCATCAGACTGATGTGAGCTGATGTTGACACTCACAGACAGCCAGTTTGTGTAGCAGCCAGGACCCTCATATAGATGTCAGTTTATGAAAGTTTTTTGGCTTGTGTGTGTTTGATAATTTTCATTTATGATTCAACTACCAAGCTTATGGACATTTTTGAACATTTTTTGTTGTGATCAAAACAAAAGCAAATAAGTGTATAACTATGTGCATTTTACGGGACACCATCAGTATTTTACCTCACATACGGTCAGACGTTGGGGACTTTAACTTAGGACGAGTGAGGCAATATTGAGGCACATTACTTGGTTTAAGATATGTTTTATACACTAAACCTCTGTGTTGTCGCATCATTTGACCACCCACCTATTTCATGAAGGTTATCAAATTGTTTAAGCTTGATTTTCATATCTTTTTCCAATAGTTTTGAAACTTTTGTCAGTTCATGATACAAATTAGAGGAATGTGTTTCAAAAGTCTTCAAATGTTGAGTCAAGGTCCCTTGATTTAAGTGATTGAGGTACAAGTACTTCATTACAGTTTGTTACGATACATTGAATGGTACATTACGTTTCATCAAGTATGCTTCGCATAATGTTTAGTGGTGAAGCGTCATTGTAGACCAAAGGCTCATTCCCAGTGAAACTATCGGTCTACGTAGGTAGATCCTCCCCCAGGTGGACTCTCGCTAAATGCAATCAGATTAACGGATTAACATGCCTCATCTTGTTTCCAATGTACTCGCATAATCACCGGCCTTTCTCCTTTCTACTCAACACCAGGGGGAAGCGTGATAATCTGCTAAGCTGATTGCATTCTAGTCCCCGCGGACTAGAACGATAGTTTCATTTGAGATGTGCCCAAAGACAATGGTGACAATGGAATGGTGACAATGTACATCTAAACTCGATGCAATCCACTATCTACACATCAGCTTCAGTGAGAGCGACATGCCTTATTTCGAACAATACTTTTTTCTACATTTATGGTGCAGAGATGTGCTAATTATTTGTGTAACAGAACAGTACTTTGCTACATCGTTTGATGATTGTTATATTCGCAGGTTGAACAGACCGGTGCGTTGTATGCTGGATAGAGATGAAGACATGTTGATAACAGGAGGTAGACACCCTTTCCTCGCAAAATACAAGGTATTACTATATTTTAACATTTCAACTGGGACTCTCTCTCAGTCTCTCTCTCTCTCATACATTATTTTCGAGTTCTTCACAGTAATTCTATAGACTTCTGTGGATTCTACGACAGTCCTTTTGCACATTTCTGCTACGATAACCCCCTCCGCACACCCTCCCTCCTATTCTCTACATACTACTACACAAACAGAAGTTCTGACTTGACAGTGATTTTTCTAAGTGGGCAGGAATGTTGATATAATCAAACACTTTTCATGATTATTATTTGCAATGGTCTTACATCTAAGTTCATTTAATTTGGGTAGGGTTTGCGGTCTTATGGTGCGGGTGGTTGCGGGGGTTTGGGGTTCTCCAGGGAATTGCCTTAGCTTTTATTATTATTATTATTACCAAGGTTTATCTCATTGCTTAGATAGAATATTTTATGAGTAATTTTACTAGTACGTATGTGCATTATATAAAGATTATTTTTTCCTTCACAAATGGTTAGGCAACATAATACCAACTAGAGAAATGGTAATGCACTAACTGTATTGTATCGTCATTAGTATGTCATATTGTACAAGGTCATGACAATCTATGTACCAGTACAGAAATATATTGAATTGAATTGAATTGAATTATTATTATTTTATTTTACTTTTTTTTTAATAGATGCATTATTTTACGATTATTACAGAAATGGAAATTTAATGTTTGTTTTAGGTTGGAGTGGACAGCAGGGGACGTTTACAAGCCCTAGAAGCCACGCTATATTTAAACGCTGGCAATGTGTGCGATTTATCCCCATACGTAGGTATAGTTTAAAGAATACCTCATGTTTTATTGTATAATCGGGGCAGAAACATTGAAATGTGTGTGTTTTTGTGTGTGTGTGCGTGTGTGTGTGAGTTATCATATCGCTAATTCATCTATTAGGCCCCATATAAAGTGTTTTATTCGTCAGGTTCTAGGCGAGGCGTTAGACAGATTTGACAGCTGTTACCTTATTCCAAATCTACTGCTGACTGGCGTCTTGTGCAAGACCAACCTCCGCTCAAACACGGCGTTCAGGGGATTTGGTAGCCCTCAGTCAGTTTTGGTTATGGAGAACATCATCGAAGATATCGCTGTTCAACTAAAGATCCCACCACGTATGGTACGTTCAAGAAAAACCTCGAAAATGGCATCATGTATTAAATTGCGTACAGTGTATGTGCCTTTACTTTGAAATCACCGAAGGATCATAATTTGACTTTGTTACTTAACCTTTGATTTTGTCATAAAACCAATTTTGTCCATGATTCAGTATTAGCTCCTGGCCTTTAATAAATTAAATCATAGTAACGGGCATGATATTATATTCTCCCAATCTGCCAGTAAATGTGAAAACGTAAGTATTCAAACGAATAATATACTAATATTAAGTACCATTTCCCATATTGTCTAGGTCAGAGAAGTGAATATGTACAAGGAAAATGATCTAACACCCATTGGCAATCGCCTGGTTAACTGTAACATAGGACGTTGCTGGAATGAGGTTATCAAACAAAGTGGATTTCATACGAGAAAAGAAGAAGTAGAAGCGTTTAACAGGTGATTTGAAATTAAGATAAAGCACTAAGGTGCCTGCCTATGTTAGTTTGCTACCCATTAATATCCAAACACTAAATACTAGTTTCTTAAAGTTGGTAAAAACATTGAATGGCGTGACAGCAACGAACACCATTCAAACTGCGACCCTGGGCAAGTTAAAGTGAAAAGAGTAAACGCTTCAGTGACAAATTTGACGTTATTGTAAAGCTGGGCCATTTGTATTCCTAAAAGTCCGAAAAGTTACCTCTGACCGTTTGTTAGCCTCTACTATGAATCACGGTTTTTAAAGGTGGCATTGGATAACTTAACGTGTCGGTCCCTACTGAGCGTAACATAACATAACATAACTAAACGTGACTAAAATTATAATTCGGATGTCAAACAAAGGATATATTGACTACATAACTTCAGGTAGGGAGAGTATTCGCATCTGCAGTTTCACGCATCACTTGAGATCATTTTACTGTCAAAAAATCATTGGAAAATATTTATTCTGGATTTCCTTGTATGCGCCGGCTGCCTACTGAGAAAGACAAAGCAGTAGGCATGTGTTTGTCTGCGTGTAAGTTTGGATGTTCGTGTCGAGTAGCTACATGCCATAGGACAACCGTACTTGTCCCGATATAGCTTATACTCTAAATATGCACATTGTATCGTTGTTACAAATCTGATGAAACATCACGATTAATTACAAGCACAAAATCTGTTTTAGCAAAAACCGTTGGAAGAAGCGTGGCATCGCCCTGGTTCCTGCCAAATATCCGATCACTAACTATCCTAATCGTCATCTACAGAACGTAAGTACAGTGTACTTGTATTTGTACAAGTGGGCGGCTTATCATAATTGTAACAAGTTGCTGATGATGATTCTGTAAAGATAAAACTGCCTTTTTAAAAGAGCGAGATACCTGTATAATAAACAACTAGGCGGTACTTTTTAATCAAAATATTGCGTCAATTATATCTATGTCGTATAATTATAATCATCACCATTTTTACCGATAGGGGGCTGCACTTGTTCATGTGTACCAAGAGGACGGTTCAGTTCTGATAACACATGGTGGTGTAGAGATGGGACAAGGACTGCACACTAAGTTGATACAGGTACATGTAGTGTGATAATTTACATGAAAACTTCATCCAATCTGTCCGTTCACTTCATAATATTCTGAATTGGTTTTAATGAAAAATTACTAATATAGATCCTAAATTTTAGAAAATACACTCAATGAAAATGGACAAAATCCGTGAAAAAGAATGAACATTGAGGTAATAGCTGAACATACTCACTACGACAATGTTCAAATATAAAGCAGTTAGTTTTACCGGTTCCCTAGCTTCACTATTTATAATAAGGACGATGCGTGTTTTAACCCTTTTTTGTATAATTCCAGTTTAATTTTGTACTGCTATATTTCTTCATGTAATAGGAGATGGACGCAGGGCAAATCAGCAAAGAAGTAAACTGACGCTCCCTATCAGCCGTAAGATAATTACATATTAAAGAATTTGTTTTTGCCAGATTGCCAGCCGAGCATTACAGATCCCAGTTCGGAAAATCCATATCAACGAGACATCTACCGATACGGTGCCCAATGCCACTGCCACAAATTCCAGTACAAGCACTGATTACTTTGGAATGGCGGTATTGGTAAGTTGAATCATGGCGCCATTGAAGTTTTGCAACGGAGAATGCAGCTGAAAGCTGGGCAGCTGGTTATGGGAAATTAATTTCAGCTTGAAATTGATAGCAATTATTATCAGTAGTTTTCGCACCTTTTCGATTTATCGTGTTGATTAACTATTGGAATGAAAAAAACAAACATTTCTGGATGTATCCTATGAATATGCCCTCTTCATATCTCCAGAACGCCTGCAAAGCACTAAAAGAACGACTGGCTCCATATGTCAGCGAAAAGCCACGTGGCACGTGGGAGGATTGGGTAAGCTGTTCAGGCAAACAATGAAAGAGAAATGAAAAACTCAAACATTTTAAAAAATAAAGGTTTCTATATCAAAACTTTCAAATGCCATAAGGACACATAAGGACAGAAACCTTTTTCTATGGATTAGAAACGAAATTTATTTCCTTTTCAGTTATGCTGTGTTGTCTTCAACCGTGTTTTTAAACAATATGGCTTCCAATTCTGTCTTAGGTGAAAGCTGCCTACATGGACAGGATCAGCCTATCGGCGACTGGATTCTACAAGTAAAGAAACCAGTACTGTATTTAAATGGATATATAAACAAAGAATATTCAGTTTAGTGCTTATAACTCATAGAAATAATGGGAACCATGAACAATCGCCTACATAAATTCAATCACATATTGTTTCTGTATACCTTTTCTAGTTTTTGCTTAGACGTAGCTCGTTGGATTAAATGCAAGTCCATACTTTACAGGAAGAGTTTTTGCTTAAGGCATGCCTTTGAAATTTCATTCTTTGACATCGGTAATAACGTTTTAAAACGAAAAAACTATAATTTTAGATATAAAAGATGATTGATAAAGTTATTAAATATATTCAAAACGAGAAATAAAGTTCACATGGCTAATTTTGATCTCTATATTTTTGGTTCTCGCTGTCCTCTGCCTTCTCGGGTTCTTTCTTTAAATCATTGTAAACTATTCCTCTCTAATAACTTGTAGAGTACCAGACACATGGGATGACAGTTATATAAAGGGCGAGATCGCAAAAGAAGCATACCACACATACGGCGCTGCTTGCTCCGTGGTGGAAATAGATTGTCTTACTGGAGACCACGTGGTTAGTTGCCTTTCAACTTTCTCAAATTCAAACAGATTACATTACGATAATTTGATATATCTTTGGCTTTAAAATGTCGACACGCTAGATGATAATACTGTTCATAGAAATTTAAGGTAAAGTGTCGTCACTTCTATGTTTTCAATACCATAAATACTACATGTAGTTCTTTATATTCGAATCTATTCCTAAGGTGTTACGAACCGACATTGTAATGGATGTTGGAAGAAGCCTGAATCCGGCCATTGATATTGGACAGATAGAGGGCGCTTTTGCACAGGTATAGTGACAACAAGCACTTTAACCATTCAGTGTGCCCGAAAAGATAAATGTATATCTTCCAAATTGAAATTCTTTATGTCAAATTCCAAATGAGCGTTAAATACCGATTTTCCAGATGATATATATCTTATTTTAGGGTTATGGGCTATATACCATTGAAAAATTAAGATACACGTCTGATGGAAAAATGGTAACCACCGGTCCAAACACGTACAAGATCCCAGGCTATGCAGATATCCCTGTAGAATTCAATGTGTCCTTCCTAAAAGGGGCGTCCAATCCAAGAGCTGTTTACTCTTCCAAGGTGACAACACACCAGTATTAAGTGACAAGGAGATTCAATGACAGTAACATTGCCGAAAACAAATGTGCATAATAATAATAAAAATAATAATAATTATTATTATTATTATCTGTTTACTGTGTCGACTTCATCGCCGTCGAAATGATCATCGCCATCGCTGGACGCAAGCTAGCACCACTTAAAAAATTTTCAGGGAGGTTTTGTTTGGTAAAAATGCAATGTAATCGAAAAATCGGCCTAATTAAGTCATCAGACTGTTTGATTGCAAAATTTGTCATTTTTACAGGGAATTGGTGAACCTCCTCTGCTACTGGCGTCTGCAGTGTTCTTTGCCATCAAAGACGCCATATCGTCCGCTAGAGCCGAGTCCGGTTTGAAAGGGAGGTTCCGATTGGACAGTCCAGCCACGGCTGAGAGAATCAGGATGGCATGCGAAGACCACTTCACAAAACACGCTCAGACACATGTACGTATTAAAATAGCTTAAAGTTATTTTTAAATTTTTTCATCAATTGCTTGGTCTTCATTTATACTTTTTTCGATTTTTGTGAAAGATTATTTTTATCGGAGCTGTACAAATTTAATAAATAAATAATGATAATAACGTCTCTTTCTACATGTAGTTCCAATCGAAATCAAGATTCATCGATGAGTAGCTTCCTTTCGACAACTATCGTTAAGAGGCAACCAAGCGTTGAAGATCGAGTTCCTGAACAAGATGTATCTTGTGTTCTAACCAACAATATCACCATGAAGTTCTGTATTCGGAATTGGATCAGGAAAGAAGATAATATTTATAACAGACATAAAGTGCATATAATATTGGAATTCAAAAGTGGCGCCTTCCCGGCAAACTCCCCACTACTGCACTGATGCCGGTGTGACAGAAATGATAGTCTTGGGAATGGAAGTTAATAGTACAGGTTAGAGCATTGGGGATAGTGTATAGGACGACTCACATATGTCACCATGCAGTACAAAGTAATGGAGAACGGACTACAGTTCCTAGCGGACTACCATGCCTGTCCCACCGGTGTAACCACTTGATGGCCATGTGACATTATTTGTTCCTTTTCTTTGTAGAAAGTTTTTTTTTTTTTTTTTTTTTGAGAGAGAGAGAGTAGGCCCATTTTTTCAATTTTTACAATAAGAAATTAGTAATCAGAAGCACTTTTACAGTATGTTTCACATGCGAATTAATAGTAAATGACATGTTTTACGTTACCAAATACTACTAGGCCTACATTGTTTTCGAGTGTATTTGGAATTTATTTCTGATGTTCAATTGTTTATCTAACTACATAGAAAAAATTCCCTTTTGCTTAAAATATTTATTTTTAATTAAACTAGTGAGTGGAATGTTGCGTATTCGAGTCTCCTGCAACTGGAAGTAAAGTTTCTTTGTGAATGGTGTGTAGTGTGTGTGCTTATACAGTAAGCGATTGTCAATTTTCACAACAATTTTATAGTTTTTTTAGTACATGTAGTCTCAAGATTACCTGATCTGGTGGCTGAGAAGACGGCTAAATCTAATATTAAAAGAAATAAATAAATGATGGTAATAAATCTGGTACCAAAGACGGCATTTTTACAACAACCAGCAGTGGGTAATTTGATTGATCGGTAATTTTTCCAGTCTATACATGTAGAAGCAGCAAAGGTAATGCAGCTTAGGTATGAAGACAAAAGGGGCCCAGAGATTAACCTTATCAATAGTGTTTCGCTTGTGTTGACCTATTAAAATCGCGAACAAAAGTATCTCTCTTTTGTAAACGTACCTGTAGATACACTGTAGTACGGACTGCAGCGCTGGTGATGCTATAGAATATAAAACTACAATGAGGGCAAAGATTTGTGTCATGTGATTACAGTGGGGAGATCGCACAGTGCAATTTTATGTGTTTCGCAGTGAATGATCACGGCACATTGCCAAAGTACACGTCGCCTTAGCGTCACATCTGAATTATGTTAATATATGTAGTATGTGTGCTGTGAAAGGGATGAAAACAAACACATCAGTCGAAACTGTGACTTGAATGGTAGTCCTAGAAATGGAAGTCTGGGGTCCCTTATGATTAGTGGGCCTACAGATTAGGATTAGTCGGAGTATTGAGGTTGGCATATGGGACGAATGTCACCTGTAAAAAGTAATGGGAAACGAACTACGGTTCCTTCCAGTCCTGTCACACCGGTACATTTCAACTGCGGGTCGGTTGAGCGTAAATTCCAAGTAGCCCCCCCCCCCCCCCTACTTGTGTCTTATATGACCCAAATAAAGTCGAGATACCACAGGATAAACCGAATTAATTACTCGATCAGATCAGCCATAAAAGAGCTTTAAACTGCACCTCCTTCATACTTTTTAAAGGTCGTTAATTTCACCTACAGTACGTATCTCACCTACATGCATCGTTACTTATCTGCCCCATTTATACATGTATACAGCACAAAAAGCAAGCAGAAAAATCCGTTCAATTAACATTTTCGGGTAATATGTAACGATTTTTTCTGGTATTTATCTTAGTTATAATATTCGTGACTATCTGGTGGCAACTGGTCGGCCTCAGTGGCAAAAAGGCAGTGACTTCAAAGGCATCAAGAATTATCCAGTCAAGATAAAATTCAGAGTCAGATGCTTATTTTCTCTCTGTATATATAAGGGCATTAAATAAGAATTGCCATTTTCTAATAATAATAATAATAATAATAATAATAATTGCACCGATAAACACACAAAGAAAAATACACTGGACTGTTGAACTCATTTTGGCCAGCTCGATGATGCAATGTATACAAGCCTGGAATTTCCTTGGGTAGTGCCCCTTTTTGTAATGTGGGTGGCTTTTTGTTTGAAGTCACGACTGTAAACTTTCACATTAATTCAAAATTTCAAAAAAAGGCATGATATCATAGTTTTACTTCAGAGTCGAAGGCTTTTCTTAGCGTTAACACCAAGCACTATAAAGTGGTAATTTAATTTGGGGATTTTCAAAACCGCAGAAATTATTTGTAGACGCTTACCTAATAGTCCATGTTTATTTGTCCATCGAGTTATGTAGTGTCATAGCAGATAGAAAGCGCGGGCGTCTGATTTGACTCTGATTTGGGGACGGCGAAAGACATCGGATCAGCCGTTTTGTCAAAATGTCTGGTGTCATGCTTGAACCCCAAATGACGTACGACTTCAATATCATCTTCGATGAAGATAATAACGAATCTTTCGTATTTGGGCGGAATGTGATGGAAAAGCTCGAGGCACGAGGGCTTCGAGGTTTCTTCTACCCGCGAAATAATTTGCCAGGCAATGCTATCGCCGATGAGAGGATATTTGGTGTGGACAATTCAATGTAAGTGAAAATAGAAGTTTGTATATAATTTTGTGCAGCGTTTGGTAAACCCTCGTGATAAAACCAGATTGGTGAAAGGCGCCTTTACTCCACTACTTATTCGTAGCATCTTTTATTGTAACTTAGATTATCAACATTAATAACAGCTGCGTCCTACTGTGCATTTTGATCTTAATCAATCTACAAGAAATATCACTGAACGCAAAATTGAAGATATTAACATAAGTATCATTCCTTTTACCAGGTACAACATTGTCATTGTCGATCCATCTTCCAATGACAGTGGATGGGCCCGTTGGTCCCGCCTACAATGTATCTCCAGCCTCTTAGATATGAAAGGCACGGGTAACATACGAAGATTGATACCAATAGCGGTCGTGAAGTGCCCAGTACCGCAGGAGCTGAGAATACATAAGTAGGCAGATTGAAGCACTGGATTAAGACCAAAGTTATATTTTTTATGTTTAGAAAATAGAACACACGCATTAAGATTTAAGGTGATATGAATTGAATATATTACTTTTAAAAAACTATCGGTTTCAAATATTCGATTATTTTTATATATGTAGTAACTAGTATAAGTTAACGTGTAAGTTTTTCACTTTTTTTAGCTATGGATGTATCTGTTTCAGTTGTGGAGAAATATCAGTTTAATGTTGAGAGTAGGTCAGAGGTCAAATATTAATTCAAGGCTCCATTAAAAAGTCCAATCTATGACATCCGTGCCGGTTCTGGAGATATAAGGCTACGAATTAACACATGTTGACCTGTTAAGTTATACTGATGAAAAGATCATATTACACTGCTGAAATCAAAATAGCTAAATTCTTATTTTCACAGAATTTTGCGCTTTGATAGCCAGGATGATGAAGAGGCGCTGACAAAACTGGAACAGGTCATCACGAGGACCTCTGGCGACACGCACCGTAAAATTGGATGCGAGTCTACTGAATACAGTAAGTTTGTTTATATTGGATTTTAACATAGCAAAAACTTACTCAGAATGAAAATATTTTTATGGTATATTCAGTACGTACTTTGACAAAATTTTCAGAGCTTGGGAAAAAAGCCTGCAACGCAGTACTGAATATATCGCGAATCATTTTCAGTGATGTGGATTTAAGGACCTTTTTTGTTTAACAATTAAGACTTATGCCTGTTTACTCAAGGTAGGTTGTGATAAGATTCCTTGGTTTACTCAACTTTCATTTTCCCTTTATTTACAGGTAGCTATGAACCTCCTGACTCTATCAACAGTCAGTGGACAGGTGTGTGTGCTTTCTCTTTTATTCTTTTCTTAATCTCTCTCTCTCTCTCTCTCTCTCTCTCAGGCTCAAACTTTAATGACGTGAAGTCTTGGCCATGACTTAATTCAGAACATTCAGAACAAGTTGATCCGCGGACTAACTCGAAAGCTTGCCGCATAATCCCCTTTTAGACACTAAATAGATTCCGCGCGGGAATTATGAAAAAAATTTAAGTGGGTCGGCCTTATTTTATCCGCAGATCTGTTAGTCCGCGGATCAACTTTTATTGTGAATGCGGCCTTATACTAGCTCAGACTGCCTCATTAGAACTGATGGGATTTCTTTTGAGCCACCCTGTGTAAAAATCGATAGACACATGTTTAGAAATGTGTAATCAATTTTGATAAAATTAATTTTGAGGATTTAAAGAAAAGATGTTAAAGGATAAAATAGATAGCACACTCTCACACCTATTTCGATAAAATATCATTTCTGCTCTTTCAGACAACGAACAACAGGCTAGTTGGCCAGTGCTGCATTACGTCAGCCCAGTAATAATGGGCATCGCTTGCGTTTATCTGGTCGCCACAGTCTTTAAGGAGCGTCTGGCACCGTGAAAGACTATAATAAATTTAAATCCATATCTGGACATGTGCGCATTTAGACAGACTACCGACACTTTGGTCTACTGCCACCGATGGCCATAGTGTCCCAATACCCTCTGATATGAAAAATGAACGAGCAGAGAATTTTGCTCACAAACTTATAACAAAACATAAGGGTTGGAATCGTATTAAGATATGAAATCTATAAAAAGATTAAGGGTCCTATAGGTAAAGACCTATTATTTGACATGGACATTCAGGGTACCAGACTTACTCTATAGGTGCTATTTACGGGCCGTGGTGTGTGTGTGTGTGTGTGTGTGTGTGTGTGTGTGTGTGTGTTTTAAGAGACTTTTTTTTTAGAAAAATAACCCCCTTTGGAAATTGCTGGCTACGGGCCTGCAAATTGTCAGTTTAATGGACGGCTTAGGTTTAATTCAACCCAATTCAGTTCAATTTATTGCTGTAGCCTATACTGGTAGGCCTACGTAGGGTAGGGTGGGGCAAAAAGCCCAGTCGGGGCAAAAAGACAATTTGCGATTTTTCTTTAATAATGCGAGATTTTAATCCACATGGCATTACGCCATATACCGCATAGCAGACGAAGTGTGTTCATGTAACCAAGGCCCAGTCTCACCAATAGCTATGTATTTTACGAACACCTTTGTATTTTTGCCCCCATTTCTCTTAATTTCACCCTCACTTTATATCTGTGACTCTGCGGGTAAGATGGATTAAATTTAAAATTATCGCTTTTGCCAGTTACCTAGCAATCTTGTCTCGACATGTTAACACTAACACTTGTTTATCTCCGAACCTTTCCGATTTTTTTTGGAAATTAAAACAATGTATCAGTTCGGGGCAAAGGGCCTACCACAGAAAGGGGCAAAACGCCATGGGGGGCGTCTTGCCCCGCATGATGGGCGTTTTGCCCCACTCAACCCACCTACCTTACTTTTAATTTATAAACGAAGGGAATGATAACATAAAAGGTGTTATCAACAAAACGAGTTACATGTCACAGTTCATAACCACTAACTGAGAACCTACTGTGTCAGTGATGGGGACAAACGACTCAAGAAAGATGTTTTTAACAGTGGCGTATTTAGATGGGGGTCTGACACCCCCCCCCCCCCTTTAATTTTGACTAGCTGACTCAAAAACAGACTATCAAATGGTTCGGTCACCTGGCACGAATGCCCCCACATCTACCGGGGAACAAAGTGCATGTAAAGAAACACTCCGGTTTTAAGGCAAGGGGAGGACCGAGAAAGAAGTGGTACATGTAGATGGAGTAGGCCTACCGAGAGATTTTGCAATCTAACAACATCCCACTCAACCAAGCATTCCAGCTCGTCAGAGACGGAAAACTCAAACTCTTTCTCCCCTTGACACCGTAAAGGGTATAAGAAGGATGACAAAAGAAAGAAAGATAGAAAGAAAGAAGACCCGTAGTTCTAAACCGTGCCAAATGGCACCCTTCACTCTCTCAAATACCAACAACCTGTATCCGCCCCTGTGATTTTAAGATAGGCAATACCTCGTTATTAAAAAGTAGTTTAGGTTTTGCAAATGGCACAATGCTTACAATAAAGTTAAAATGATAGGAAGTGTTTTGCGTGTTATGTTGAATGATATTACGTAATATTAAGAAATATCATAAATCGTTAATTATTTTCTTGAGTCTGCACTACTCTCCATCTCCAGAAGCAGTTCTTGTGTTTTAAAATTGTAATGTTTAACATTTCAAAAGTGGTTTTTCTCAACTTACAGCTTGGTATGGATTTGTAATTGTTTATATTGCTCTGAAATTAAGGTGTAAGTTGCTTTTGTTGCATTTTCATTTGTGAGTAAATCCAGTTTTCATAGCTTAAGTTGTATGAGAAGTAAATAACAATTTAAGATAATCCTATCCTCTCGGTGAAAGAGCTTACATAAGCATGATTAAAAAAAAACAACAGAAAATGAAAAAAATGTTATAATTTAAAGAAGAAATAACTGAAATTAGGAAAATACATTCTTGGTTTATTCAGAACAAGGGGTATTGTTGGATTTGGGGTAAAACGCCCACCATGGGCGTTTTGCCCTGTGACAAAAGGCTTTTTGCCCCACCCATGGGGCAAAAAGGCCAAAAATTTTTTTTCCTAATTTTAACCATTGTGTCTTTTCTTTTGCAACTATTTAAAAATGAATGTTCCAGACTGAACCCCATATCAGAACGACAATATCGGTGCCACTTTGGATGGAATATCTCTTTGACAATGGAAACTAGAGGGATTCTTCCTTAAGGGGTGCGTTTTGCCCCGCTCTCCCATTATCATAACCTTGTACAATAAAATACATGTATAATAAAAACAATACGATTGAGGCATTACCATTCTGTTATTGATCTTTGTTTCCAGTATGTTGTGACTTAACAAATATATATCTTTAGCCTATATAATGAACAGTAGGACCTACTAGTGAAATTACTTATAAAGTAGGCCTACTCAAGATAGGCCTAAGCGGTGAGATAAAACTTCTTGGTGTGTTTACAAATTCATCATAAACACAAATCAGGAAGCATACGGCTACAATCATATGTAACATCATATGTGGCGATCCAAATTTACAAGGCAGGGATGAAGAACTACAATAACCAGTACTTGTAGACTTAAGAAAGAAAAGAAATTATAAAATAACGATTTAACAGTAAAGGCTAGGAGAGAATGAAATATTGAAATGGCAGGTTTTAATATTGACCATTGCTTACTATAAAAGTTGCTATTTGAGGAGAAACAGACATTCAAATCACCAGCTATTTGTATCTGAATGTTTTAATTTACTACATAACTGCCGCTAAAGGGGGCAGAGTTAGTTACTTGATACCGCGCATTACATAGCAGGTTCAACAGGCAACAAACACCTGCTGGTCACATGACTCATCTCACATGACAGTCACGAGGAGGTGTAATTTTAAGCAAAATGGCGAACGGCTTGTTGTTCGCGACGTTTTTGTCTCTTATGTGTTTTGGGATTTCATCTGAACTGAAGTATCTAAAGCATAATAAAGCGTGCTATGACAGGAACTATGACATCGGGAAGCAAACTATCAGGTTAGTATATTTTCTTTTTGAAGGATCATTTTAAGATCAAGATTTATTGCTCAAGATATGTACAGTAAGAGCCGTTAATTTCGTTAAATAGATCGGTATCTCTGCATCTGACTCTGTACTGAATATCAGCACTAGTTTTATGATTTCTGCTTTAAAGATTTCTGTCACATTGTACTACTACTTTCGAAATTTAGGTCGATATAACTTAGATTGCATTACTGTCTAGTAATGCTATCTTATAAAACGTCCATAGTTGGTATTTATTTTTTTAATTAATTTGTTTTATGCATTAATATTATATTTTATTTGATATTTGATTAAATGGTCAGAGACGATACTCCTGTAATGCAAGATCCTGCATTGACTTTAATTATTCTCTGTACAATATATTCCGCTGTTGTTTTTGTGCTCAAGGTGTACTTTTTTGTTTACAAGTTTGATCTACAGTAATTGTTAAGGGATGCTCCCTCTTATTGATACCTTGTTTCACCATGCTCGCCAGCTTTTCTTTTAGCTCTTTTCTCAAAGCTACTGGTACGGACCTTGGTGAGTCTTGTTTTGGTATAACCTTAGGGTCCAGCTCAATGTGGTATTCTCCTAGGTCACCTAAACCACTAAACACATCATTATACTTGGCGAAGATATCATCCTCTGACAGTTCCGTGCTAACAACGTTGATGAGAACATCTCTCTTTATCTTCATCAGACCAAATCTCTCTGATGTCTCTCCATTGAGTAACGAACAAGTGACATTTTTCNACAGTAATCATGATCATGACATGGCATTTTGAACATTAAAATAATCAAATTTCAGGGGGAAATTAATCATTTCATAGCTTACACCCAGTCCCAGTGCTGGTTAAAGTCAGACCAGTTGTAAATTGCACCCTTTTTATGTTTTGAAATGAGTGCCTCTTGCTGAAATTTTGCATTTTTTTGCATAAATTGGAGTTCAGTGAAATTATGTGACCCCTCAGTTGACCTAGCTAATTCATATGAGGAAAGTAAACAATAAAATGGTAAATTCACATGGTATTATAGTGTACTAGTAGTACTTGTGATTTTGTACATGTAACTACCCAGGTTTACAATTTATAGGTGCTTGAAAAAAGTTAAAGGGCCAGTGAGATTTAGTGTTGTATTTTCTGTTGCCTTATTCTCCCTCCAATCATTTCTAGATATTAGCCTACAAGTACAACAATTTTCTCTTTTCTACCTGCCATCCTGCTTACTGATAGATTGTGCTACAAGTGATGTTTTGATTTAACATTGTGAAGTATTTACATAGGACATACCCTCGACCTCATGAGTACATGAGCATTAAGGCTGTCCCCAAGGCGTGGGATTGGAGAAACGTGAACAATACAAACTTTGTGTCTGTCACAAGGAATCAACACATTCCTCAATGTAAGTATAAGGCTGTATTCCCAGAGCTTTTAGATCGATCTATCCCTGCGGGGAGTCTCACTAGATTACTGTTAGATAATCCGGCTTAAATGTCCGTCCCGCCTACTACAAGCTGTAAGAGGGTAATTAACTTTCGTACCCGCCCGGCTGACAGCTATTTAGAGTGAACCCCCAGGGAGTTAGGTCGATCTAAAGTAGATCGATCTAATCTCTGGAAATGGGGTCTGACACAACCATAATACAGCATTATGAATATTCTAGTGCATGTGTCCTATGGGTATTTTCCCATAGACTCATTTTAGATACTAAGAGCGCATACAGAACAGATGATCCGCGGACTTACTGATCTACTGACTAAATATGGCGGACCCCATATAAAAAGCAATGCCTCTAATTCCTTGATGGTTTCCCTGGCTCCACACATGCTGTTGCTGCAGGGGCCCAGCAATGAACCCTTGAAGCTGAGATTTAATTTGTTAAATGGCATGTGTGGAGGCAGGGAGATCAACAGGGAAATAGCAGCATGGCTTTTTATGTGGGGTCAGCCATAGTTTGTTGGTGGTTCAGTTAGACCACGGATCATATGTTCTGAATGTCTTCTAGGAATCAAACATGCTCTTTTCTTTTGTATCTCCTGCAAGAGGGGTTCCTTGTACACTCCCTATAAGTTAAGCAGTCAAAAAGAAATCAATTTTCACTTTCAGCAATAATGATGATTTCAAAAATGATGAAATTTGTAAAAAAATATTTTTTCTTGTTCTTGTACAGACTGTGGTTCATGTTGGGCCATGGGAACAACCAGCGCCCTGGCGGATCGCATCAACATAAAGCGAGGGAACGCCTGGCCCTCTGCCTACCTCTCTGTACAAGATGTCTTGGACTGTGGCGACTCGGGCACCTGTCATGGCGGAGGGATGATAGGGGTGTACGAGTACGCACACAAGCGTGGTATACCTGATGAGACGTGCAATAATTATCAGGCCCTTGATCAAAGTAAGGAGTTTAGTGCATAATGCTGCCTATAACATAAACCATTTAACTGAATGAAAAACAAAATGGGATAGAGCAAGGTTTTTTATAGTTGCTAATATGGAAGGAGAGGAAAAAATTATTTGCTCGGTTCAATAATTGGTTGGTGTTGGTGGCGAGAGCGAGTGTCACACTTACTTGTTCGAGCAGGAAAACCTTGATGACCGATGTCAGAGTGATAAATTGATAAAATACTGAGATCGATACTTGGGCGAGGTTAGCAATTATTGAAAGTGGGATAAATAAAGATGCCATACAAGGACGCCCATTTTGAGCAGATTCCTCACCCCCCCCCCCCCCCCAACCATCCAAACCATTTTAATTGAACATCTTGTCAGCACCCATTAAGTGCAATCCACTCTAAACTCTTCTCAGACAGTCTTAGTTTGTAGAAAAATTTATTCGATAGAAAACCTTGGCTTATAATTTTAGGAAAGTTAGTGTGTGTGTGTGTGTGTGTGTGTGTGTGTGTGTGTGTTGAATTCACAGGGCAATTTAAAGGACAGCAGCCTCATGTTACTTGAATGTCATTTCAGAATGTGATCCTTTCAACGAGTGCGGCACTTGCAGCACATTTGGCCAGTGCTATTCTATTCAGAACTACACTAGGTGGAGAGTGGGTGACTACGGCAATGTAGAGGGCAGAGACAAGATGATGATGGAGATTTATGAGAAAGGGCCAATTGCGTAAGTTAAACTACAGATTGTGAAATTTCTTGATTTTTATTACAATTTTATACAGGGGCACTGTATGTGATTGGTGTTCAAGAGATTTTTTTTTTTCATTTTGTATGCATTTAATGAAGGGACAGTTCCTAAGTATAAATAACTAAAATTTTTTTAAAAAAAGAGATGTAATTATTCTGTCACTAAAATTTGATTTTAATTCTCAAAAGAAGTGTGTGTGTCTGTATATGTGTGTGTGCGTGTATGATTGTATTTAACACTCTAGATAATTATTCAGAATAAAAGTGATATGATGGGTTAGATGCCCTTAAAATTTAGGTGTCAGTTTCAAAAAAATTGAAAAGTGAAAATTAAAGCTAGACTGCAGTTTTATTTATTTATTTATTTTTGTCGGGAAAGGGATCATTGTAGGATTTCTTTCATTTTTTGGCAGTTGTGGTATCATGGTGACAGCTGTCTTTGAGAAATACACTGGTGGTGTCTACACTGAACTGAAAAATAAAATATATGTAAGTACACCTGCTTTTTTGCGCTACAATTAATTTTTATTTCAATTTCTATGCCTAGCTGTGGCATCATGGTGACAGACAACTTTGAAAAATACAAAGGTGGAATTTATGCCGAGGACAAGTGGTTTGTTCTTGTAAGTCTGTGTGACCTCTCTCTCTCTCTCTCTCTCTCAATTTTGATGAACTGTTTGCCAGCTTCTAGTTTTTTTTTTTTTTTTTTTTTTTTTGAACGCGTGGTGATTTTGACAAAACAAGTAAAGTGCTGTTGGACCCATTCAAAATAGCAGGTAAACAGGACCGTGGATAACATACGGCTGACCCACTTAAAAGCTTGTGGCTTCATTCCCAATTAGACACTGAATAAATTACCCACAGAAGTTACGCAATGAGCGTTCAAGTAATTAGGTCATGCTTGATCCACGGATCTGTTAACCCGCTGTTCTGATTGTGCTCACAGTCATCCCACTGACTGCACGCTGATCAAAAGATCCAAAGATGCTGAAAGCAATATATATAACAATATACTAGTTTTCCTTGCCTCTAATATTTCAGGTAAACCACATTGTGTCAGTGGTAGGCTGGGGAGTAGAGGATGGGGTGGAATATTGGATAGTAAGGAATTCTTGGGGACAGCCATGGGTAAGCGTACCCTTTGGTGCAAAGATTCATGTCCTTAAACTTTGCATAATAGTTTACAAGATATTTGATACACTTTCTTACCTTTTGGGCAGTTCAGTTGCTTGCCTTCAATGTTAAAAACAAATACTTATACATTTATGACTTCCCTGGCCAGCAGTGCTGGTCTTCAGTGTACAGTAATCATTTTGAAAGTTTTAAAAACATGCTCTGCAGAGCATGAATTACACAGAAATATTAAAGAAGGTGGCTGAACATAATTCAACTGGTTTTAGATTTAACCCGGGTTGTACTTTACCCAACACAAAAAATAAAAGGCACATAGTTGATGGAGATGTACTAAAATGTTGGAAAGCAAAGTACTGTAATAGTAGCTACTGGTATGAAAAAAATTACTTTAAAAACAGCAGATGAAATACTCTTCTGAATATTTTCGCTTTCTTTAGGGTGAGCAGGGCTGGTTCAGAATTGTCACCAGTGCCTATAAAGGTGGGAAAGGCAATGATTACAACCTGGGGATAGAATCTGGCTGTGTGTATGCTGATCCTATAGTGTAGAACTATTGATCCTATTGTGAAGCTATGAAATGTGCTGGCACACCTAACACAATCCAAGATCTTTGCCATGTCCTTAAGTTTCACACCTGACGCAATATTATGTAAAGCGTTCGTTTTTCTTATCCCACTATTCTCAATTGAATAGCTTTCGATATGAAATGTTAAAATGTTGGTAATTTGGCAAGTTATTTAAGATTGCAAACTAATTTTTGTGAAGTACATTTCAAGTACGGAAATTGAAATTTTTATGTTTTTGGATGCATTAAAGATAAAATTTAATTATCTAAAATGCGGCAAACCAAATACTTGGTAGATGGTCCTAATGAATATCCAGCAATTTATGTGTTATATTATAAGCAAATGTTTGCTTTTATCTTACAATGATTATAACTTTCATAAGAACAGGAGCGTAATATCATCCATTTGCAGAGACTGCTGTTTGGTGATTTCTTTAAGAGCACAGAAACATTTTATGCACAGAATTCTTTTTGCATAATACGTATGTTTTAATGAATACTCAATATCCAGAGAATTTGTAGAAATCCACTATATTTGTGCAGCTTTTTAATGTTAAAATTTTATTTGTGTTCGTCTGTGTTGGCATGTTTTTGACTTCTTTCTTCAGCTTCATGGCATGATCTCCAAAATACAAAGCATCCACAGCTGACACCATTTTTTAAAAATATGTATATGTGATGTATAGACTTAATGGCTTGTATTATATACATTATCCTTTGTAGACATAACCTTTAGTTGGGATTTTGCAGGTGTATAACTTTAAAAAACTGTGTGGATTTCAATATTATTAGATCACAAGATGATAAATCTTATGAAATATCAGGTATAAGCAGCTGCCATTTGCTAACGAAGTTCCTTGAAAATCGGTAAAAGAAAGATCACTCTGAAAGTAAAAAGAACACTCTAATAGCTGTATTGTTTTGCATTTATATAAATCACGAAGAAAGAAGGTACAAGAGCTCAGAAGTAATTTGAGTCATTGATTGAAGTTCAAGATTAAGTACGGAGAAAAGTACAGCTGACTGTATGTGTACTGTTAATTATTTCTCACACATCAAGATAATGTGTAGAAATATTACAGGTTTTTTAGTCCCTGATGACTGTGATGACAATATATTCTGATATCTCTCCTGTTTTGATAAATCCATTTTTGTGTGCTTGTTATCTGATTTACAAAATCGGCATAATTAATTGCTGTTTTTGCTTGTCAAGCAATTTAAACAGGAGTCTGCAACGTTTAAGATGAATTTGAATGAAAAATCAATCTATGCATACCGCAGATGCTGTGTCTTGAAAGTGTTATTTAAATAAATAAAAAATCAGATCAAAGGAATTGATTCATTGTTTATTAATTTTATTACCTCTCTCTCTCTTTTCACTTCTGGAAACGCGACTGACAGAAAGATGCACCAAAATTTGTAGAAACTATTCACTAGGGGTCGGTAATGAGAGTATAATAAGGAGGCGAAGGAAAAGGTAGCAGTAATGTTATTACTACTTCAACTTGATTTTTACGACGCCAAAAACTCCGTCTGGTCATTACCGAGCTCGTCGCGTCTTACTCATCGATCATGCCAAGGGCAATAGAGGATCTTAAATTACAACAAGAGAAGCCGACTTAAACAGCACACTGACACAATCACATGTTGCGTTCACAGGATTCTCCATTGTTTATGGATGGGCGCCAGTAATAATGATAAAGTGAAAGCTCCTAGATGTATGATGTCTGGGAGGACTCTCGTTCGTTTTATTCCAGGTTCTTGTCCAGGTTCCCAAGCTTTATGGCAAAAGAACGTGGTACTTGTGTATCCAACCCCTTTTTTTGATCCTTTACCCCGCCTCGCTGCTTGACCAGTGTAGGCAGCTGCATGATGGTAGATTTACACCGTATGATGCATGCAAATCTGAAGGTGCCAGATTGTTTGGCCACTTCTGTTTCAATCATTTACCAATCCAAAAATTAAATCTTATAAATATCAGTTCTTATAATAAATGACAAATGTACTCTGGTATTTTGGTAGATGCATACAAATTAAGACAGCAAATTCCAGCGAAATTGTTTCTTTGATAAAAAGCATGGTGCCTGAAGTATTGATGGATGTCGCACTCGTTTGTTAAATGACTAAAAACATCAACGGAACAGACATGACGAAAACTACCGTTTAAATCACGATGTCGCCGACCGAAAATTAAGCTGACAGAGCAGAAATCGATTCGAAATCCGCGTGGGAAACCCGCGTCACCTTCAAAAACATATCAATCGCATTCAGTGATGAGATATATCACAGTTTTGTGTACTCAGTCAGTTCGCAAACTGGCGGGTCTTGCTCACACTTTCACAGATAGAGCTTAAAGAAATCGATCTAAATCACTCCAGCATTTTAAAAGGAATGAAGCCAATTTCGCTTTAGCATTACAAATTCTGTATTCTGCATTCAGCGATCACACTTCGTGGCAATGGCGCACAGGTGTCAGTTTTATTACAAAAAAAACACATTTTCTTCGTCATTTAGATCGAACTGATTCGGTCCTTTTTAAGCCCAGAGGGTGTGCGGCCTTACACATGCGGGTTAGTTGTTCTATAAACATTACCAGGAGTCCCTGTAGGTTGTCATGTTTCCTCAAGTTCCCGTCAAAATCGATAGGCCAAATTTGCTCAGTATTGTAGCTCAAAGAGACTGTAATGTCACTAACATTTCCAAAGGTTCCGAGAACAAGTATTTGAAGAGATTGCATTAAAACTGGTAAACAATCGCGTATTACTTCACACATGTTGCTTCAATAGTAAGCTTTAATGGCGTGATGCGCTTTGAGGCGAGCGATAGAATTGCGCCAATGGTCTTAAAAAGGTCGATGATGGATCTATTATAAATGGGTTTCGAGAGTTGTAACTATTGATACTTTTATCTCGGGTGCGCAAGCTAAAAATGCTATGAGAACAAAGGAGTAAAAATAAGATTAACGCATTTTGTAAAAAAAATGCAACTAATAGACATACAATAACGTACCTTCATTGCATAATACATGTATTTCATTTCTCGTATGGACAGCATTGACGCATGTAGAGTGCAGTCTCGACCTTTCAAGATAAAGTTTCTTCAATATATTAACGTTTAATACTTTTTTTAATGGACATTGTAATAACAGAAAGTTTTTAAGATCCTGCATTGCACTACTACACGGTAGTTTATCTTAACGAAAACATTCCACTGAAACAACTGTTACACAAATTTAATTACGCCTTATTTGCCAATAAGTCGTTCTCGAAACGTGGTCCAGCTACACTTACAGTCCACTAAGGTGATCTATCGTTGAGCTGGCGACTTTCTGACTAATAGTGTCTGCTGATGACGTTAATTAACATGCGTCATTGCCCGTTTATTTTTGGCAATTCTGACGTGATTGCTGAGAGCGCAATTGTCAGCGAATTCCCAGTACCTCACAACATTGTCCAGCCATTAGATAGATAGAAAATTTTTTTCAAGAAGATCAGAGAGAACAAAAATATTTTAATACACTAAATATGCAATCAAATAAACAAAAACTTATAGTTGAAAAGTTTTCATTTATGATATATCCACATAATTGATTTACCTGTTGACTGTTTCGTCCGTTAATTCTGACAGACTTGGTCACAACTGAATTACCTTTCAGGTGAAGGTGAACAGGTAATTGCCTCAGTCTTGATGATGACTTGTCAGTCCCTCTTGCCCCGCCCCCCAGGTGGAATATCATCATACACATGGGACAGTTTGTGTGCTCCTTCATCTCTCTTCATGGTGTATTTCTTTCTTCTTATCCAGATTGGTTCCAAAACTTTGCGTTTGCTGTAATTACTTTCACTGGCTAGCACTTTAGAATTGTTCCATTTTGGCACATGACTGTTTTCTGACATAGGATCTGTGTTGGCTGATTTGTGGAAAACTCCTGTACATAGAGCGTTTGGATCTGGTGTTAATTCCCACACTTACATTTTTCTTTACTTCTTTCATGTGCTTCTCTAGTCTTGTTTCTAGTTTTCTCCCCGTCTCTCCAAAATATACTCTGGCACAGATCCCACACCCGATCTCATATACTTTTCCACACTTTTTGCTGTCCTCTATCTTGTCTTTTGTATGTACAAGAAAGTTTCTGAGTTTTGCGTGTGGTTTCAATGACATTTTGATGTTTTTCTTTCTCATTGCATTCATGATTTTCTCTGAAATTGCTTTCACAATAGGATTGTGACTTGTCCTTTGAATTTTCCCACTTTTTTGTGGTTGTCCTTCATCTCTTCGTTGGTGAATTGTATACTATTCAATACTATTCATGTCTTGGTTCACTGCTGCTGTGGTATCCTTTGGTATTATCACCAGGATGTCATCCACATATCTGAGCCATAGGCATGGCTTGCACCAAAAGGGAGGTGTTTTGATAGTCGTTTGTTCCAAGTCCTCATGAAGATGTTAGCTAACAAAGGAGACACTAGGATGACCATTGCTGTACCAAATTTTTAGATAAAACAAACTCCAGCTTTTATAATGTCTACAATAGACAGTAGTGATCTCTGTTTCTTGTCCTCCAGTAGTCTCATTCTTGTGATGTTGAGGAGGGGGCAAAAGAGGGACTAACAAGTCATCATCAAGACTGAGGTAATTACTTGTTCACCTTCACCTGAACAGGTGATTCAGTTGTGGCCAAGTCTGTCAGAGTGAACAGACGAAACAGTCAACAATATTCTTTAATTAATTATTTAATTAATTGATTTATTTGCATTCCGGGTTATGCGCGATTCAAAACTGTAATGTTAGACAGATGGCAGGGTTTATCAGGAGATGAAAAATTAGACTGTTTTTGGCGACTCATTTTAATCTTTTTGAATTATCGAAAGGTTTTCTTGTCTCTAGACAAGTCCAACAAGGAATGCTTTTAGAAGTATTTTTTTAGTAAAAAAAAACGTGTGTTTACGCTTTGTCACTCTAAGTTCACTACAACTTAATCTAGATCAAAGTGTCTAAGTTCACTACAACTTAATCTAGATCAAAGTGTCTAAGTTCACTACAACTTAATCTAGTTCAAAGTGGACTAATTTTGGGATCTACCCATATGTTACCGAAGGGACGTGTTTTACAGGCCCGTTAGTTTCACTGAGTGCATTGATAGGATTGGATGGGAGATTGTGGTTGAAGTCATGCATCATTGTGTTTTAGGACGCATTCAGATTCACACATCGTACTAGCTGGGTCGTTCCAACTGTGCGGGAGATTCTCACTAAAGAGCATTTATAAATGGTACACTGGCATCAACCAAAACGACGAAGAGAAAACCCATTTCTACAAATATTGCTTTATTTCATTTTACAATGCCGAGGCAGGAGGCAGCAGAGAAAGTTTAGAAAAACTACCTCTGTCAAAATAAAAATATGCATTATAAAACTGCGTTATAAACGTTATATAAATGTCTATTGGTTGTTGACGTTTGTAAAAACGGATAGTGACATAAAATACGTCTGTTATTCTACTCGTCATTCTGTCCAGGACGTAAGAAACACTAATAACGTTGATAAATTAAAACTTATAAAAAGAATAATGCATCGAACCAATATAAAAATCTCTGATTAAAAAGCGCATAACAACAATTATAACAACAACAAATGTAAAATGAGATTCGACAATAGATTAATCATTAACATACAGTTTGACTATACACGGTTTAGGCCTATACATCAATTCTCTGAAACTTCTTATCTGTCTCATGCAGCCATTAGCCAGGCGCGATGCGCCGGGCAATTAACAAATTATATCGCCAAAAAGGGCATTTGTTTATCATTTTTTGGAACGCTGCCAGAAAGAAATAATTGTTTTTTTCTCTTTTCGATTTGCCCTCTGCTTCTGAATCATTAGTGAAAGTGTCCGGTTACTCATTTCTTATACTATTACTCATCTGTCTATCTGTGAGCTCGCGATAACGTAGCGTTATGTGACTAGCGTCATTTGGAACATATTCAACACTTGAACGCCTTTCAAAGCCACAGCAATAGTAAAAACTAGGTATCTTCCGTCATGCACTAGTACCGTTTCGTGACATTGCCAGACACGTTATTGTTCTCAGGCTTCATATGAAAAGAAATCCGAGGGTTGCCCCGGTATTTTCAATTCATTGAATAAAATGGCACCTTAATAACGTGTATGCATCATCAGACATCGAGGAACTTGTTTTCAATAGTTGGATTTGATAGTCATTTACATCGCGTGTGAACATATGCCAAATTTTTGCCCACGCCAAACACCACAGATCAAAATTAACTATTCAAACCGAACCGTTTTTAAAAAACTACTATGAGAAAAATATAGGCCTAATTTACATTTTCGTTGTCTGGGAAACCTGCTGCTTTTTTTCCCCTTAAAACGGAAGGATTGGCACTCCTTAGTGGTTGAAAACCTAATACCAGGCTTTAAGAGATACTGGAAATTAAGTACAAGTCTACATTTGAATATAGAATCCATACACACCTATGGCTTGCATGTGCCGAGTCACAGCCACACTGATACCTCATAATACACATTACACATCACATACTAATTCAACTAACAACTTGTAAGCTATGTCTAGACCCTATCAACACATACACCGTTGACTGTCTTATGTATAAAAGGTTCTACATAGTGGACGCTCATACATGTAGTTGACGGAAGTATATTGCACTTTTGCCGATAAAATATATCAAATGGTTTATCATTCTCCTAGAACCTGTCTGGTATTTGTCATCAAGTGCATCAGACCTTTCGGAATGTATTGGAAGCTCAGATTCACAACATATTACGACTGTGGCATAACTTTATGCTCTGCGTTCAGTATTGCACTATATCTGTACAAAGTTTTAAATAAATATTACTTTCACTTCAATTAACTTTCGTTGGATACAAATGGTCAAACTTCTTAAATTCGTAAACACATGTAAATACCGAGAGAATCAAAGCACGTTAGTCCAGCCTTGACCTAAAGAAACCTGCCTGACCTTTAATGATACCAAATTGCTTTGGGCATGTTAGTGCCACCATAAGCATACCCGGTTGAAAAGTAAGAAGTATGTAATTATTACATTTCATCCGAAGAAACTTAATTGAAATATTGCAAAAACTTCCATCTCATAGGAATATGATGGGAAAAGTGTGCTTCAAAAATTGGAAACAAAAACGTTGTAAAAATCGCTGCTCATAACTTAAATATATGAATATATATATATATATAAATACAATTTTGAAAAACCGATTTTGTTTTCATCTTATGAAATATCAGTCATTCTTCGAAACAGCGCCAGCGTTTAACACTTGTTCATATTCTCTTACATTACACGTATACCTTAAGAATACCGTTCGTGGAATTTTGATTCGCTAATGCCTTCCAATTTCATTATGTGTCTCAACCACATGACACACTCATTTCAAGTTGTCAAGGTTCTAAATGTGGAAAGGACCGTTTTGAATGAGAGCGAATGTAAATTACAACTCACTTAGCTAGAGTGAAGTAAGGAAAAAGGTTGTCTAAAAATGGCACATTGATGGGGGTAAATTTATTTAGAGTTGCGGGTATCAAGAGTTGTCGGTGATACCAAGAAGCCACTTTTATCTCACAAAAAATCCCAAGAACGGTCGTTTTACGTTAAAAATGAGTATTCTTTATCGTTCAGACAATCCAATTGTCTTGCAGCTTAGTCATTGCATGACATCATACTGATTGTTGGTCAAAATCTACTCTTTTGGAAGCCATATTTTATTCTGAAAGTTTCACTTCGTTTACTCATCTCTTTTTTTCTCTTCGGGAAGCTGTAAATAGTGATCAAAATACGTTTTCAGTCTCTTTTCAACGTTCTTACCGCCTCATCTTTAATTGGTGCGTCACCCACCACACAAACGTTTAATTCGATGATTCACTGTCGCTGGAATGACCATGAAATGGAATGGAACTTAAATCATCTTTGAAACAGGCAGATTCATAATGTTTGTTGAGATAGGACTTCAAGGCAAAAGTCTTGTTGCATCGTTCGCAGCTGTAATGTTTCATGGCGGAATGAGTTTGCATGTGCGCGCGAAGATTGGAACGATCCGCGAACGCTTTGCCGCAATGGGCACAGCCGTAGGGTTTCTCTCCCGTGTGGGAACGTTTGTGGCCCTGAAGCAACCAAGGCCGACTGAAGGATTTCCCGCAAACGTCACACTTGTGCTTCAAATCATGAGTCAAAATATGCATAGACAAGGCTGGCATAGACACGTAGACTTTGTCACAATGCGGACACTTTTTGGCAGACATGCTGTCGAGGCTGCGATGCGTCTGCTTATGCCGTGACAGATTTGACGATGTTGCGTAATGCTTACCGCATTCGTTACACGTGTAACGTTGTCGCCCGTTCCCCTCGGCGTTATAGCCCCGGCGGCGGCGCTTGGATCTTCCGTCGGTGATTAAAAACGCTTCGTATGTGTACCCAACTGTGCCAGATAAAGAGAGGTCAGAGGTCACACCGTCTTGTGCCGCTTCGTGACTGTCGTGATTCTCGTAGTCGGAGCCGGAGTGTGATGAAGCGGTGCTTCCGGATAGCGGGCTTGTTGGCTGAGTCGAATTGAGCGATCCGTCTCTGGTGCTTTCTTCTTCAGAGTCGCTCCGATCCAATGGCTCCTTCTTGGAACTGCAGCTAGTTATACCACTGGAACGCTGTGTAAGGTCGTGGAAATAACCTGGAAAGAATGCAGATAGATTAATAAGATATTAAGATACCCAGCTGTTAACAGAAGCCGTTTAATATGCATATCAAATGTATATGATACAAATACAAAGTGAGTTGAATCTCGAAAGACGTCTTGAAAGAATGTCAAAGACAAAATGAAAAGAAAAAACTGGCAAATCCAATGTGATATAAATGAAAAGCAAATTTTTAGGAAAAAAGAAAAGGGATAGACAAAAGACACGCAACTTTAATACAGACATGGAATCTTAGAACCAAACACAAATTTGAATGCAAAACGAGACCCTCTTGAAGTCTGTTTATTCGGTTCAGTGGTGCATTTCTTTCTTTCTTTATTTATTTATTAATTTATTTATTTTGGTGCTTTAACACTCTTTGTACCAATGGCAATATGCATAATACGGAACATAGCATCTATAGCTTCTATAGCTACAAATGTACCATGCCGTATATGTTATAGTCAAGACTAAATCTGGTACGTTTAAAAATACATCCGCCCTTAGCAACTGACCTTGGGGTATCATTTTGATAACCGCGTGCTTGTCAGACATAGCATTTGAAAAACGATTTTCTTTTGCAATAACTCAGATATAAGCCAACGCATAGCATGTTAAGAGCATATCAAAAACTTGTTACAGCGCAAGGATCCATGGATCATCCCATCTGATGGAAATTGCAAGATCTGTTTTATGGAGTAATTGCAAGAAATGTTGTCAACAGGGAATTGTTAGTGTCTGATACGCAGTCTTGATAAGCAACCCGTATCAAAATTTACTTTCACGTGCAGAGGATGTTGTTGTTGAAGGCAACTCTGGCTGTTAGCTGCAGCCATAGGGGATTAAAAGATCGAAAGACCTCGCCTAGATTCGATAGCAGATCTTTGGGTAACATTCAGGCAAATATTCTAATAAGCACAATCAATTGATAGTTCTTAAGGGGGGAGGTGACAAGTTTACTAACGGAACCAGCTACCTTATTGCCACATTTAAAAAACATAATTTAATGACACTGGTCTAAAATGATAACGTTATCTGGCGTCGTTGGACATTCCTTTGGTTTTACTCAAAAAGCAAAATAAACTTCAGGGATTTGACGTGTATCAGTACCACAGTTACTCGATACATCTGAAGAACTAATTTATCAAATTGTTAGACATATCATGTGGGACGTCTTGTCATGTGACGCAGGACGCCGCCGTGGCTCGCCAGAGGCCGTTTTATTGGAATGGTTCTAGAACTTTTTTATGTATCTATCATTGACTATTCTAATGTTTAAAAATATTTTAAGGGATATAAAACACGACAACTTAAAGGTTTGCAATTTTTAGACAATATTCTAAGTGACTCAGAGCATATGTTTGATAACAGCCAATTGTCTTGCCTACCGTTCATATCAAAGCACATAATCCTTTTAAAGTCACACAATGTGCGTTTGAGTCACTCTTATAATGTAGATGGAAACTGGTGAATATCACTAGTAAACGGTTACAATCAGAACAAGTTTATGAATCATAGTTCAGTCAATTGTTATATATAGGGTATACCTTTGCGATTTAGTGAAGTTCTTGAAAGATATTTTACTAGACGAATGTATAACGCATATTGTATGCCTTAAATTATCATGCTGAATTTAACCTTAACAGTTTTGAGTAAATCTGAATGCAAACGAAGTATCATTCACACTGTGGCTAACATGATGCTGATTTGAGGTTTCTTAGTAGTAAGGCTCTAGGACACTTGTTTTATAGTTAACCTGGTGTCGCATCTACGTGTATGACGCCAAACGCACACAGAGAGAAATTTGATTAAGCACTTGAACTCTATGTTTCAAAGGCAACCTAGAAACAGCATTGCCCATTCGATGCAATTTCGTATAAAACCTGTAATTTTATCGATTTCTTTCTAAGATGAATATCGTTTACATTGGAAACCCACCCTGTGCCTTTCCGGCGATTCGGACTGTCGTCTGCCAAAGTATTCTGAGACTTAATGCGTAGGCAGTAAGACTGTGCTAACAAACCATGCCTGATTGATATGACGCTTTGAGCAACAAGTCTAACGATTCTCTATTCTCTACGCTTAATCGATTCTCTTGCAAAGGTTACACGGTGCCTGCAACCCCGCGATATGCCTCCGCTTGAGTTCAACAGGTTGAATGAAAACGGTTGTCTGGTTAAGGGGAATGTTAGACACAGTAAATAAAGTATTACAAAAATGGAAATATATGTTTTCGATACGACCCTGTAAACATAGACAATAGCCATATCGGACTGTTAGTAAACTTTGGTACAAAGTGTTCAATGCAAATGCACATAATACTTGTTTTATACTCTTTCTTTTTTATGATTGCCTTGCTTATCTGCCTATGTGTTTATTTATTTATTTATTTATCATGCGTCTTCATATATACTTTGTTTACTTTCATTTATTAATTTTTTTCTGTTTGTAATAATTTCAGTTCATTGATATCGTAACGGCCACAGAAGTCCCAGTTTTGCGGTTGTGCAAACACCTGTTAGATGTGAAGCACAGCTAAATTACTGGCATCATAAATTCATATCTCTATTCAACTCGATCATTCTTCTCCAACGAACAATATCCGCATCATGCTCATTTTTTCGGGAAATACTAACTATGAGCTATAAGCCTAAGTATAATAAGCCTGATTTTATGAGACGTTGATTGGTGGACGAAATAAGACAATTATGTTGGCGTCTTGTTGGGTAAACCATGAGATTGCGAAAGTGTTATTGTAATCGAGTTATTGGTTATTTGATACTCAGGATTTGTATTCATCATCGCACTACAGACACCACAATGGCGGATACAATGCAAATTATTCTAAATGGCATCCCGCTGCGTGCTGTCTAAAAAGAATGCATTGTCAGAGGACGATACTACAATAAACCGTACATACTGATTAAAGTGCACTTCGTTTCAGTAAGAGCAATAATATTTGACATGGGTTTCAAAACTATAAATTAGTTAAAGAGTTTTGAGTTGTGTTTTGATTTTTCACAATGTAACCCACATATACACATGTAGTTTTATCTGTGCTGTGCAAAGTGGGCATATAAAAGGTAATCCCTGATGAGAAATATATAAATGTTATACAAAACGTAAACCTTTTACGATAACCTCGTTTTAGGCGAAATATATGGTAAAGATAAGTCTTTCCGTACATAATTTAATCGTGCAAAGAAAATTTAATATTGGTCGGACTCAAAGACGAAATTTCAATCCAAAGATGTAAAGTTAATTGATGAAATTAAGGGCAAAGTAATGAATATAACACCAACTTAATTCTAGGAAATATGACAACTTCTCGATTCTACATCTGCTACTTGTGAAATGGCATCAAATAAGTAGCAGCATGCACGCAAATAAACTTCAGTGTTTGTTCGCTGTAGCAGTCGTGTGGTAATGGATTGTCTAGACTAATTATAAAAACTTAAAAGTTGTGCGTGCTGTACAGCAATTGTTGCCTGAGCGACCTATTGCATTAATGACGCAGTGGAAACGCAAGCAATTATAACAACAATCCTCTTATGCTGCATTCACACTTTCCTGCTTGGAGCGGCGCATGTTCGATCTAAAATGCGAACGCACACACCGATCAGCAGTGGAAAATAACGACTGCGGAAACTCCATCCATTGATCACGTGAGAAAAGACGATCGTATTGAATCAAAGATATCTGAACAGCTGCCAATTTTCTGTGCAATAAGACATATATCGTTAGAGCGTAGGGATATGGCGCGCTTTTATGACGTGATGTCGAACTAGAATTTTGTAAAAATGCAAACTTCATCAAAAAATGACTATATTCTGTAAATATATGCATTTCTATTAAGTCCATTATATGCGTTTCTATTTAGTGAGCTGACGTCCGTCAAAGTCGTATGTAACAAGCAATAATTATAATACGCTACGGCTCACACACAAACAAAAACCGTTTTTCGAAGGAAGAATAATTACTTATTTAAAGTGTCTAAAACGTAAATCTCAAATCTTTATAGATTTTTAAATAGCATTTTTCACAGAGTTGTCGTATAGCGCTGTTTTGCGACGAGGACGCAGTGAAAAATTCATGGTGATTCAAACGGCCATTTTGGTTTCTCTTAATACGCTTTCATACCACATTTTATCTTAGGGTAGACAAGATCCAAAACTTAGTCATTATCAAAAACACAATTTTACTGACCAAGAACAACCTGTGGCCCTCTGATTTCTTTAGGTTTATATGTTTTTGGATATGTTCACATCAAGTTGATTCGGTCATACTTATGCAGGCTCAAATTACTCTACACGGTTTGAAATTTTTAAAAAAAATTAATTAAATCAACATATACTTTATTCATTTTATGTTCACATATCTACGTATTCATTTCCCTCCTGTTTGTGCAAATTGGTCATATTATTACGGTTTTGTCATTACCTAAACACCTAACACAGTAAAGGAAAGAATTAAAGCTCCGTTTGTAACAATATACTCTGCTGACTATTAGTTATTTTACCTAAATATACATGTACGATACCGTCTGAGAAATTATTCACAACTAAGAAGTCTACGAACTCGGGTTGCTAGTCGTCTTACATCTCAATACTTATTCATAAGTAAGACGTCTTCGAACACGGGTCATTTCTTTGGCTTGTGTGAATTGATCTTGAGGCATAATGAACAGGTAGGCAACACACCACGCAGCTTCTGAAAGCCGCATCAACAAGTGGTCGATCAATCAAATTAAGGTAGGCATAAGGATTCATTAATTTATTATTGCACATTGTTTTGCCTGGCACAAGGGTTTCAGGCTTTGTCTCATTCGCTGTCTCGTGGCGCGTGCACTACTAAGGGACAGGTACGCACTGCAATTTGTCACAGCGGCACGTGTCTGCGTTGCGACAAGGACTCTTTGAGGACTTAGAAGTGTGCCACGTGAAATTATGACTAAGGCTAATGAATTTTAGTGTCCAATTATTGTGAAAAAAATATACTGAGATAAGGCTTCCCTGTGAGATTCTCATTCATATTATGCACACTTTTTTATTCTCTTATGCGTGTTCATTTGCTGCCTTGTACTGAAGCGAACTGAAATCTATTGTTATCGTTCGTTATCAACACAACGCAGCATATTGAAATAGATAAATTAAAAAAGTTGCTTCTTTCATTCACGAATCTGATAGCTCAGATTGCAAAATATCTCACACTGTTAAAATCATTTCTAGTTGGGGATCTATATTTTGGCCCAACAGCTTATTGTGTCGCCAGTCAACAGAGCATATCATTGTATCATTGATATGTCCTTTTACACTAGAACCCACCCACCTGTCCTACATCTCAGAGGGTACACCCACCCTGGGTCTTACTTTTACCCAGTTATGGGAATAGTGCTGGGAGCGTACAGTGATAAACAAGCACGCCTTTTAGGCTCTATTCCCATAGATTTAGATCGATCTACCGGGGAGTCTCACTAGATGACTTTCAGATTAAATGTCCATCCCGCCTACTACAAGCTGTAAGGAGGTAATTAACTTTCGTGTCCGCCCGGCTGACAGCTATTTAACGTGAACCCCCAGGGAGTTAGGTCGATCTAAAGTAGGTCGATCTAATCTATGGAAATGGGGTGTTAGAGTGCATTCAGAACAGATGGTCCGCGGACTAACTGATCCGCCGACTAAATATGGACAACCTGAAAAGCAAGCCTCCTTAATCCCCGCTTCCACACGCGCCATTAAACGGATTAAATCTCCGCTCAGAGTTTTAATTGGTAGTCTCTTGCAGCGACAGCGCGTGTGGAGGCGGGGAGACCAACGGGGAATTAGCAGCATAGCTGTTATGTGGATCGGCCATATTTAGTCCGCAGATCTGTTAGTCAGCAGATCAACTTTTTCTGAATGCGATCTTAGTTAGTGTTATATTCATTTGACTGACGCGGTTAACATTTCTGCACTACGTGCCATAAGCTATATTTGTCTCGGATAAACCCTCAGGGAAAACAATTAATTTCTAGGACCGTCAGCAGAGGCATTCGTCATATCAATTCACGCAGGGTTGCGGAACATAAAATATTTTTTTCATACCATAGAATATCTATAACCTTTAACAATTAAGTGAGTCATCCGGATCTTAAAACAAATCGTGATTATTTTTATCATAAAATTTTGATATAATATTCAAAGTTTTGGCGGTGTTTTCTCCTCTACCAGATTTTGCTTTACATTACCATGTTGCGTTTCTATTGTACTAAAAACGTACCAATTTTCAACATCATTAAAAGTTTGCAATAATTCCCAATATAAAGCACCGGCAAATCTTACCTACGGCTCAAAGGAAATAAACCATTTTAAACAACGAAATGTTAAAATGTTATCCAAAAACTAAACCTAAAAAATTATTTGCAAAACAGGGCGCTACCCATTGTTTTAGATGGATTTTTTCAAAACTCCTTTACAGATTCGCTCCAAATAGAATTAATTGAGTGGATGTAATGTGTATAAGCCCTGCCTACACAACCATTAGACAGGAGGAGATTAGCGACTTACTATTGACCTACTTGCGTTAGGAGTTTTAGCCTAATGTACAAACAAAATCAATGCCTAATTTTTTATATTCTCCTGTAGCGAGCCAACGCAGAATGTGATTTCCGACTTCGCTGGAAAAGGATGGGTTGCTTCTAAACAAATGCTTTAGATACATCAACGAGGATTCAAACAAAAAAAATCTTGCATCTATTATCAAACGTGTCATTTACCCCTAAGTAGGCTTGCGGGCGATTTAGAAGCCAGACAATAAGGATTTAGGGTGTTTTTGCCATGTGAATATCGCATCAGCAAAGTCGACGATAAAAAATTTAGATCTTTTTTTATATCCATTATTTCTGTATTAGATAAAAAATGCAACTGCAGACAAAATGGTTTCTACATATTGTAGGAGCACGTGTTCGTAGCAATAGGCTACTGAAAGGTAATCGTGCATTATAAAAAGTAACTCCTTCCGTCTATTTTTCACATACAACGTACACAATTATATTAATGTAATATTTTGTCATTGATACGAGACAGTCAGCTGTTTAATAGAAAAGGTCTTTGAAATGTCGCTATATAATATAACTAATGTAACTTCAAGTTACTCAAAATGTGTCAAATAAAGCTAATTTATTTCATTTGACGTTTGTCACTAATCAAGTGCAACTAATTCATATCGACTGACAGTACATCAACGCATGAAGTATCCACGTCATATTTCACTTAATCTTATTTCATTGTGGATGGCGGACCACATTTGGCGAGCAGATGGATTGGGGGGCTTTAGAAATATTCGATCAATTGTCTAAGCTTCCTTAAACGCGTTTGCATAAATCGACTCAAAACAGCAATCACCCACCTGTTACTTTCGCAGTGAACTGTTTACTGGCTGAATGAATAGCAAACATTCTTATCGCGCGTTTAGTAATTAATACACTGGGCAGTTTTATAATCATCTTTCTGGAAACTTAGAAACCGAATTATCTGTGGAAAGTCATAAAAGTGAATGCAAAACCACTTTATTTCCAATTTTAACACATTTTCACCGTCGATCTGCTTTCTTTCCATGTGTAAATCAACTGTTTGTTATAATCTATGTTGTTTCTTCTCTTTTTGAGAACTTAGATATTGACAGATCCATTGTTTTAGATGGATTTTTGGTCACTGGATATAAAGAATGGATTTATGGGGATGTTTGGCAACCTATACATGTGCTCTGGATGCTATTATCATCTCCCAGGCGATTTAAAACAAAATATTCATTAGACATTTCTACGCATAAGAACTTACTACATGCATACTTACTGAAATCTCTATAAAGTAAGTTAAGAGTGGAATGCATTGACGATTGGTTATGTGACTAACAGAAATATATATATTGTTCATTTTAAAATAACCCTAATTATCTCAGCAATTAAGGCTTTTGACAACATTTTACTAAAATGAAAATTTGAGATGCGTCTTTCAACAAACGCCTTTTACTTGGCCTTTGAAGACCATTATGTATGCAATCTGCACATTAACTTGGAAATGCTACAAAGTTAAGTACGCCGGGTATTTGATAACAGAACTGCCTAACATAGATACTGCAGTGTACGGCGCCGCCATAATACAAGAAACTGAAATAGAGATGGTTCTGAAAGATAGACTAAGAGCAATGTTAACGTAATTCCTTACCGTTCGTCACTCGGACCGTCAGAGGCTGATGGGCAAATGGAGTGTATGGCGTCAATATCGGCGTGATGGCCGCATCAATGGAGTAAGCCGGCATCGGACTGTCCGCTCCTCTGGCTTCGTTGACGCCCAGGTAGGCAGGACGGCAGATGTCGTATTCCGTAAACTTGGAGTGTTTCTTCACCAGAAATGACCGCGGCATTTTTATGGCACTTGTTGGATGATGATGACGATGATGATGATGCTCGGTAGAATATACGTGTATATGTGTTTGAGAAATGGAAGGCACTGCTGATTTTAAACGGAGGCGAAGATGATGGTATACTGTACCATTTGGTTCAGCATTGGTAATGCCACTGTTCTCCTTCCAAAACGTTCCCTCGAAATCGTGGAATCCTGGTGACTCTTAATCCCTAGAGTTGCTCCCAGGCTCCAGAAAACATGCACACTTGATCTTTATATGCGGTATCCACGCACTTGTATGATACAGCACCGGCCAGCGTTCATTTAAATATTAATCAGTTTTCTTCTCGGTAATGAAACCACGGCAAGACTCCAGGGAGGAACAGTGCGTCACGCAGTGCAAACAATCCGCAAAGTGATGAATAGCGTCTCCGGCTAAACGCTGACTCACAGAATTAGCAGCACCTTTTTTAAAATAACCTGTTTACTAAGTCTCATTCTAGGAGTCACGTTATTCAAGGAAAAAAATCTATGAAGCGTGTGTCTTGCCTTTCCAGATCAACGCATGCGTACAGGCCAAGTGAATTTGATCGTCTGCCAAAGCCCAAAGCTAACCATAGAAATGCGGAGCTGCGACGTGTTTGGCTCTATTTATAATCTTATCGGATCAAATGCAGTCAGATGGCACCAATAAATGGATTATCCACAATTTCTATCTCATACAATGTCTTATGCCCTTAGAGGATTTCAGTGGAAAATGGGATTCAACAAGCTCGCGCAGAAATCCAATCAATGGATGATTTGCCACTAATTGTGCAGCACCCCGGGGTTCTCTCGGTGACCAACTGTTGTCTTTTTGTCCCAGGCTTTGTCTTTGTTGCGTTAATCACTGCGTCTGTCCCCCCAGGGACTCTAAAGTTTGCCTTAAGTATCCGTGCCTGATGTTAAAAGCCCAGTTGCTAGTATGTTTGGTATGGGATGAAGTAGCGTTCGTAGACAGCGTCGGCAAAGGCGTTGTATTAATCGTAGTACGATGGGACGTCTTGGGTTGTAAAAGAACTATGGGAGCTGATTTTTCTGTCAATATTCACGTCAATAACCATGCATCAGGTCAAATCTTTCGGGAGAGAACAGTTAGTACGGACCTATCATTCACAAGTACAGTACTAGATTACTTATAGCTTAAATTGACCAGTCTATGAAAAAAATTCCTAACTTAAGATCCTAAGGAGGCAATCCTTTTTTCTAGCAATTTTGTCTTATATTATGAAACATAATAATGGCATCTGAGAATTAAGTTTTTTTAAAGCAGTTCAGTTAACACCGATCATGCAGTGAAAAAAAATCAAATCCGAAATCGTAAGACTGATATATTTCTGAACTGTACCAAAACTAAGCGCCCCTTACACTGCACAGCGCTAATATCATTTGCCGTTGTCCTGTCAGTGCTACCTGGTCCACCTCTCACTCCCGCCTGCCCCAACCAAATGCCGCTAGGACAAAGAGTGCTCGATACTAATACTCCCTAATATTTCAACAACAATAGACCAATGGCTCATAACCATAAGGATGCACAAGTGGCGCGTGGTCCATTCAAGCGTATAGCTTACCACTCTTTAAGGTCGTATCGATTTGCAAGTGATGTTATGTTATCCAGAGAAAGGGCCCATTATTGTAGGCGTGGCTTACTAACAGCCAGACAGGGGTTTGCCATGTTTGCAACTTTAAGTGTGTTTTCTGCAATTTTAACACTCGTTTTTTTTTTTTTTTTTTTTTTTGCTCACTTATATACGACAGTGCACGATTATTATATTGTGATAGTTTGTTACATATTGTGATGAGCTTCGAATTTACGTATTTCCTCGTGTAAAGTTGTAGAAATAAATAGATTGAAAATTCACACAAAGAGGCCATTTGTAAAACGTAATCGAGGAACTTAGAAAAACAAAGGCCCTTGTCGAGCCTAAAATATTACAAGATAGAGAATTGTTTAGTATTTGAAATTACGACTCGGCAAACACTGAATTTATGAAACAGAAACGCCTTCCAACCAATCAATTCGAAACTCAATCTGGGGAGAGTGGTCACAACAAAGAACAAAGATATGATCGCAGAGGGTTGGTAGACAAAAGACGAAAACGCCGTTTCCCTTTTAAATGCGACAATTAATGCATTTTGTTGGTTAATGGGGTTGTTATTAAAACACACGCGTAAGGCAATACGAGATAATGCTGTACATAACACACGCTAGTAAACAGACCGATATAATTGAATCCGTCGTCTTTGTCCGTCGTATCACACTGGTCAGTTGACAGCTAGCACGCGCGACACGTGTCGCGTATTGTGCTACTGACCATCAATAAATTTGCAAACAAAAGAAAATATTTACCTTTACTCGCCCTTTCGCATATTTATGTACACTTGCAGAGATTATAAAAACATTAAAATCAACGGGAATAACGCGTTTGTGTGTACTTTGCACATAAGTTGGGAGAACGGGCGGGCCATTATCTTACAGGTGTGGGAAAGTATTAGAGGTAAATTGAGTAGCGGGTATGAAATAAATAAGATTATTTAGTTAAAAAATGCACCACTGAGTCGATTTTTACTCTCTTCGATTTATTTTTATGGGTGTGAAAAGAAGTCTAGACCGAGCTGAAGGAGATAAGCATTATGCAAGATTGTTCGACATTAACATGAGTTGGGTCAAATCAGATTTTGTCTTTGTTTTTAGTTACACAATTTGGTGTTCTAAATCCCTGTACAGAAAAACATTTAAATAGCAGATTGATAAGCATTTTAGTGATCTTCAAGGAGTTTTAGTTTCAAACCACTCATAAAAAAGAAAAATGACATTTTATTCTATTTTTAAAATAGATAAATATGGAAAATATTCCTTTTACTGCACAGTAAAAACAAAATACGTTTTAAACCGATATTAAAAGATATGTAAATAATAATTGGAAACAGTGAATCTCGCTTTCTAGATGACCTACTTAAAATTTCACGAATCTCCACAAAATTAAAATTTGAAAAAATCAAATTGACTTAGAATCCATAATATAATGCCTCAAAAAAAAAAAAAAAGTATTCACACGCAACGATTTTCAAATTACAACAATCCCGCCACGCGCGCGTGCCAGGTTATGAAAAACGCAATTAAAACTGAAGCGCGCTGTCTGCTAATAATAGTCCAGTCACTCATTCTTCTTTATTGTCAATTCTCTATTTCGCGACCAGGTAACCTATCCCGTTCTCACCTGTTGTTCCATTCAGTCCCCAGCTTTACTTTCCCAAATCATTCAGCAATAAATCTCCGGCCGTAAAATAACAACGTTCACAATGCACGGAATGCCAACGAAACGGAGAACAGCGCCAACCGGGGGCTTCGTCGCCCGGTTACCGAAAGAAACGCAACATGTGTGTAGAGGGGTACTTGAAAGAAATATCACAAACTAAATCGTCTGCAAACACTCGTTATTTTCGAGTGCGATGAAAATTTAATGAAATGAAAAGATTTTGCTATTAATGGATCGATGATTTAATAAAAAACAATAAACTGCGCGGTCACATAGGCGTGGAGAACAAAGAGACGACAGCTGGCACGCGCGCACGGAATATTATCCCCCCGTTGTAAATACACACAAGAAAATTAAAGGGTATTCAATATTGACCCTCCTTCCCAAGCAGGTAGAAGCACAATTCTCCCTAGCACTAAAAGAGGGGCGCTGTGAGTTATTGTAGTAGGAGAAAACCGATGGTCCAGAGAAGTTCAACATCTGCTGGTTTAAGAAGAAGCTTAATTCAGACAAGTCGCGCGAGGAGACAACAAAGTGAGAATGACATTCGCTGAACTTGTAACATAAACGAAGCTGGTTTATTAAGAAAAGAAAACGTTGAGATCTCGTCGGTGGTAATTTACGCGCGTGGTGTTAACGAAACTTTCTGACCATTACTGTGAAAAAAGTCTCATAGCAGATTTTGTAAAGATTGTTGTGAGAATACATAGTTCGCCTGTCATTTAGTACATCACAGCCACTAATAGTAGATTATGTTGTGAAATAGTTAGTTATTCACGTGTAAAGATAACATGCATTACTACATGTGTAACTTAGCACTGTATAGACCTATACATATATAAATGAACCCTCTACCAGGGCGACAGATTAATTTTCCACAAGATATTCACAGATATGTCTTTAGATAAAAAGACAGCCATTTCATTCTCTTCCTTTTTCAAAATTTCCCTATAATATCTGTCATCCTGGTAGAGGGTAAAATAAATGTATATCCTTATATATTGTGTAAATACTGTAGTCTAGTGAGCCTTCAAATGTATCCTCATACCATTTATAGAATTTATAAAATTAAAATTATTATTATTATTATTATTATTATTATTATTATTATTATTTCTTTGGAGTCTTATCATTTATTGATACAAAGTTTCTCAAACGCCGACTTTGACAAACTTAGGGTTTACTCGATCATTTTAAAATGAAAATTTGTTTATCTTATTCTGTCCCAAGAACTATCGCATCATCTAATTACACGAATTTACGAGCACCTGCCTCTGAAAATACAAATAATTTAAACTTTTAATTGCATTTAACCTAATATATGCGCCGACGGAGATGAAGTAATTTCCCTTCCACCAAAATATCAGTGATCGTCTGCACACTCATTTCCCGCAACGCCGCACGATTTTCATGTCGTCTGCAACATTTCATTTCCCGCCATTCACGCTGCATCGTTTGCAAGATTTTATCAATAAATTTTAATGCAAAAGCACTGTTAAGCCCTGAGATTCCCTTTGTCAGCGGACGTTTCCTGCGATTATAAATACGCAGCGCAACTGAAAATTAGACCTGCCAGTTAATAACCTTTGTTCCCTGAAAGTAGATTTTTTTCATCCTAATGTAGTCAATATTCTCACCATGTCAGCATCTTATTTCTGGTAATTTACTCTTGCTACACTTACAATATTTGTACACTAAATGCAATCCATTCATTGTTTTTGCACCGTGATTGGAATTTCTATCATTACCATCCTAACCCAAACACTGAGCCCAAATTAATTTTGCTGTCTTTCCGCACGACGAGCAACTTGTTGAGGCGGCAAATCCGAGCGCCCTTTTTTTAAAAGACGGTCTTGACGTCTTAGCTGCTATTTTCTCCCAACAACAAAGGGTTCTAAAAGTAGACCGTTTTTTTCTTCGGAGTGGCTTGCATTCAAAAGGATTCGCGTAATGATAATTACTCGGTGGGTAAAAAAGCGGTGAACTATAAAAGAACTCGTTTATTTCCTCAGAGATGAAACCAGTATGTGTAGTACGTGTAATCAGGCAAACGTTTATCCTGATGTCTGTCAACATTCTTGAATTAGAGTAATGCCTTGTTTATTACCAGCTACAATCTTAACCTGCAAGTACTTTTCTGTCTCTTATTAATTGTTTTTTTTTTAGTAATAAAGCGAACTCACTTCTACTTGATACAACATTATTGTTAAAAAAAACTACAACTGTCAATATTCGATACAGATAAAGAATTATTCGTACTTGTACCTTTTTCTTTGTTGTTTCACCTAAAAACGATTTCTCGACTTCGATCCCACTACATGACTGAACTAACGAGGCGATCTAAGGCCACCGGTTAACCGGTATATATACTCTGGCAATCAATCTTGGAGGCATTTCACTGTTTATTCTGCTTATCTGACGTGCTACTACTACAAACTCATTACGCACTGCGGCTACTTGTAGGAATCGTACTCTGTGAACCTGCAATTAAATCAAAGAAAGCGAGCCGTTTAAAAAGCTCCTCTTTCCCTTCATAATTTACCTGTGGGAGTACACAAACCAAACTACTCGTATATATCTTGTTGTATTAACTCGCCATCAAAACTGAAGGGAAATGCAGCAACAAGACCCGTTTTATTCAAAATTCGTTTCTTTTTTTTCCTCCTAAAATGGCCATGGAAGTACGCAGAGCAACTAACTATTATGATGTTCGCAATTCTTAAACCCAGCATCAAATTAAAAGAATACTGCATTTTTAGACTTTTCGCAATTAACTGTCGTCATCAAACGGCAGTCGACTGGTGATGAATTATCTCTGTTGTCTTTTGAAGTCCTACGCGTATGAGGTGATGTCGAAAAAAAAGGCAAATTACGTCAATCACCATTCCAATACATTCCTTCTTTTCAACAACAAGTAATGACGGGGATCCGTTCTATATCATCGAGTCTTACACCACAACAGTAATATACTTGTGTAAATCGGACTCAATACAAATACGTCCACATATTCTGGGCTCCTCCAATCCGTTTTGCACAGTTTTGCTACATTAATTAGCATTGCCTTTCATTTAGAAACATGCCAGTTGCCGTAACATTTTCACGTGGTCCCTTCCAATATCACCTTCACTTTCGTTTTTCCACTGAAATTAGGCGCTCTAATGTTCAATGTTTCTCTTTTGATCCCTGGAGTAAAAGTTTCTGTGTCAACCACTCTGTCGTCTAGTTGTAGATGAAGTTGAACCTGAAGGAGAATAATTTTGAAAAACGTGACTGTGGTTGACACCAAGTGTATTCTCTTAGGGCTCATTCCCATTGCAACTATCGGTCTACATAGAACGATCCAACTCGGTGGGGACTCTTGCTGAATGCAATCAGTTTAACAAATTAACACGCCTCTTCCTGGCGCTGAGTAGAATACAGAAAAGCTTGGTGATAAGTCATTAAGTACTTTGGAAACAAGAGGAAGGGCATCAATCTGTTTAACTGAATTGTATCTAGCACAAGCCCCAGTGAAGTTGGATTGATCCTCATAGATGGACAGTTTCAATGGGAATGTGTCCTGAGACTAAAGAATGAGCCTTTACACTAAATAAATTTGAACAGGATCAGTATTTTGTTAAATACAAACTATCTTTCTTTTTCTCTCTATCAGTTTTTGGTCTTAAGTTGTTTTGTGGTACCGTTCTCAGGAGAAAAGACCTCATGTAAAATGCAAATACCAGTGACAGGTTTCACAAATAACAATCTAAGACCTAACACTGATCTTAATTTAACAGCACTTTGGGTTTATATCAGTTCAGGGTACCCTTTGAAATCAAATACCTTTAAAACAGTATACAAAACTAATGTTTAAGCGATAAAATAATTTTGTAACAGAAGCCTTAATTTCACTCAAAAAATACAGTCACTTTGCTATATTCTGTTTCTCTGGGGGGGGGGGGGCATCTTTTTAGTCTAGTTTATTCTGGTGGTTAACATAACAGAGTCAGCAGGTGTGCCCTTATATGGACAATGGACAGAAAAATCACAAGGAACACTTTTATGGGAATCACTTTGCTAAGGCTTCAAATTAAAAAAAAATAAGAAGACAAAGGAGAAGAAAATATCTACATATGACTTTCATAATACTTTTTTATTCACTTAACTGAGGCAAAGAAACCATATGCAAGTCTGACAATCTAACTTTTATTTTTTTAAAAGGAATGGTACAGCAATTTCAATATTAAAAAAAAATGTAAATTGTCACAATGAAAGAGATAAATAATTAAGTCAATAATACTTCCATGTGCCATCCCTTTAACTTCACTGCTGAATGAATCCATACATCACAACATCACTAAACACCTGCTATAACCTAGGCCTGTTAATTAAGAACTCATTATGATGTTTTTCTAATTGAAGTGAAGGACCCTAAGTGACATGCAAACATACACACACACACATTCGAGTGCTAGCATTGTAGAAATAGCGAAATCTGTTGACGGTTTCTCTGTACACTCCCCACATGTAATAGGGATTAAACGGCCACCGATTTCAGAAGTTTGATTGAATTTTGCTTGCGTGTTTACCCTGGATGGTAGCCTTGCATAAGGCATGTTTTAACTTTCAGTTCATGGAACAATATGACCTGTGTTTGATTTGTATTACTGTGTGTGTGTGTGTGTGTGTGTGTGTGTGTGTGTGTGTGAGAGAGAGAGAGAAAGAGAGAGAGAGAGAGGCGGAAGGGTGAGAGAATGGGGTAATCTTTTTCTCTAAAAAAATGGGATCTCTATGTATATGTGTGTGAGAGAGAGAGAGAGAGAAAGAGAGAGAGAGAGGAGAGAGAACAGGGGAATCCTTTTCTCTAAAAAAAAAAACAAAAGGATCGCTCTCTGCATGGTTTATGTGGTAAACATCTCAGTGAATGCAAGCAATTTAACTCCTATAACAGACACTCGAGACGCCAGACTTCCAATAAAAGGCTTCTATGAAAGAAAACATATCCACACAGGTTTCTTTAGCTCTTGTTTCCAAGAAAAATTAAAAGGGAATGATCATGGTATTTTTGGAGGAGGCAAACATTAAAAGAAGACAAGAAATGCAAGACACCTGAGAAGAAGTTTTTAATCATCTGAGACCAATAACTCTACCTTTTGTTTGTTACATATTATGTTTTACTCTTTCAACCAACACTGATGATCAAAAAGTTTAAATGAAAATGAATTACATTCTACTTTTACATGAAAGGTTCAATTTATAATGTCAAACCACGTTTTAATTTTGGTCACAATTTTAATCTGCAAAATACAATTAGGGAGTATCAAACCAAACGTTTGATATAATAAAAATAAGATGATTATGTTTCAGAAAACATTCATTCAGATATCAACATCAAGGTAAACCACTTTTCTAAAAAAAAAAAAAAAAAAAAAAAAAGTCATCTGAATGTGTCATAGAGACAAATTGTTGCATGTCTGCCGACCAGAAATACAATCTCCACTCAATACCTCACACTAAGATAACTGGAATGACAAATACAACTCCACCACCGGCAACAATGGATTAAACAATTAATAACATGACAATTTCACAAAGGAAATTCTTGTGAGGTTTCCTGCACAAGTAGCGATTTGCCAGTGACTAATGTGTTCGCTCTCTAGAGGAGGGAGGCCAGGACTGAGGGGTTGGGCAGGGAAAGCAACAAAGCGCAGCGAGTACAATTCAGAAGATAATAGCAATTAACATATAAAACAACAAAACGTTGTAAATGAAATGGTATACAGACACAAAGGATACATTTTTCCTTCTCTCTCCCTCAATATGTATATCAAAAATACATTATATATTCTGAAATATGACTGTACTATCTTCAAAATAATGAAATCTTTCTAAATGCCTTAAAAAACAAAAATACTACAATACTGCCTCTTTCATCACAATATATTGTATTGTTACTATTCTCTATATGTTTATAATGTCACAGAAGAAGGTATCACTTTTGTCAAATGATTTTTTTTAGATACATCAAATAGACAATCTTCCTGCAGAGATGAAACTCCTCTGTCACATAAGTTTGTTATCTCTTATCTTATCAACCTATTCTTCACAAAATCAATAAAAAAAGTGGAGAAAACAATGAACCAAATTTTTTTTTCATTTTCTACAGCCAATTTAACAGTCACCTCCAGCATTTGTGCAAAACAACTACACCCTGGCGCAAACCAAGCTTCTGCAACATGTTTCTTTTTTCTTCTGAACATCACAGACAGAACGACAAGAAGTTACTGTTATGTCAACTAGAGCTTACATTAAAACCAATCACTCCCCCCCCCCACCATCATCAATGAGACAGAAACAGACTAGACAATGTAACAGTTGAGCCACATCATAGGGGCAACACCCGCGTAACAACAACATGTACAATGTCATTCTCTCTCTCATTAAAGGGAACATCGCCGCAACATGTAATTGGTAATCACAGTCACATTAGGATGACAGATGCTGGCTGACTCATAGCTTGATTAGATTCTTAATAGAAAATTCACTTTGCAAACCTAATTTCTCCATTTGTCTTGATGAGTTAGTTTACGGTGGCACGCTGTGATTTCATCATTTAAGTCGCCAGAAGGACAGGCCCCTAAGAAAACCAGTTGCCTTAAGGGAATCCCAAAAGAGAGAGAGAGAGAGAGAGAGAGAGAGAGAGAGAGAATCAGACAAGTTATCACCATCTCCTTACTTTTCTCTGATAGGCTGCCAAAAGTTAAATTCACATTGGCTAATCCTGATAAATCAACTGATAGACAGAATCATCAAAAAAAAACCAGGGACTCCCTTGGGAAAGGTCCACTGTTTTCCAGAAGACCATGTATCATATTAACAGTCCCCTTGACAGCAAGTGACATTTAACACGGATACAGTGTTAATCTGTATAGAAAAGGCACAAATGGGTGGTGGTAGTGGTGTGTGCGTGTGCGTGTGTGTGTGTGTGTGTGCGTATGTGTGTGTGTGGGGGGGGGGTGAGGGGTATAAACTCTAGGTGTATTGTAATAAATCAAAACAAACCACAATGATTTAAAATAAAGATAACTTACTTTGGCTAAAGAATACAAAAATCTTTTCTAACATATTTTGCTAATCAGTCACTTCTGACTCAAAATTATGTTTATTGCTATTTTTTTTTAACTTTATATATCTATATAAACTCAACAAAGGTCTCATTTCTGTGCTGGAACATTTACTCAGAAATTGTGGTGCAAAGTCTTTTCAAGAAAATGTCATGACATTTACTCCTGACATAAAAATAAATTGACAAAACGGCAAGCCCCCAGGAGAGAATCAATAGTTTTGATGACATAGCCATAAAAAGACATGGCTGTTATATAATAACGTCTTCATATCAAAGGCAGTTAGGTTCTTAAAATGTCTCCAGGTGACAATCAATTACACGTCTTTCATTTGCGATTATTTCCTTCTTTCCAGCTCAAGGGCAACAACCTAAAAACACCCATTATGCAATCTCTTTGTCAATATGTATTTTATTTAATGAAGCAGTGACAAGCAAAGTATTCTTCCTGAAGGCATTCTGATAATTCTAAGGGATGATTAAGTATAAAATTTGAAGTCAAGGATTTCTATCACCTGAAGCACAGTTGAACCTTGAGGAATATCCAAAAATTTGCACTTACTAACTGCCAACAGTATATAAAAAGTAAAAAAAAATGCTTCTTTAACAAGATGTTTAACACTTGAAGTGAAAAAGTTCTAGGTGAGATAGTCAAAATATATATATAATAACAGGGTAAAATTCAGGATTTTTTTTTACAGGCAGATCATAATAGAAAATTGTTTTATATGTAAAATCAATATGCCTTAATCTTAAATTAAATTGATAACTAATTTTAATTCATCATATTGAAATACATTTGTGCTTTTAATATGAACTGATATAATTATAATAAAATATAAAATTATCGTTTACTATTATAATTTTATTTTACCTCCGTCCATTATGAACAAAAAGATGTATATTTAACAATTTATTAATTTCTGTCATGACTTGTAATTTGTAAAATAAAGCTGAATACAAGACCTGCTGTCACCTTGATCAGTTTAGTGAAACTAGAAACCACAGAAAACCACATGAAACTATAAACCACACTTGTCTATAATACTGCTTGGAATTGCATTTAAAGATTCTTTTTAAAAATTGCCATAATGACTGTCTTAGTAATGGTAGCCAGTGAAATTACAACAATGATAGAA